CAATGCAAATTTTATTACCGTTTAGAAAAACGATGAGCTCGGGATAAAATTATACTTTGTGATAAAACATAGGTGTTTTTATAGCAAAAAAAAAAACCATTACAATATATAAGTTATCTAACTAATAAATTTTTTTTTCATCAATTTATTTTTCAAAGGACCAAAATGCCAATGATCTACTTGATTACCTTGCAGATTGCAAAGATAAGACAAATAGTATCTATAGTTTACGCAAGTTTAACATTTTTAAGGGTTTAAGCAGATGGCACTAGCGTAGCATTTTTATTTTCACATTACGGACCACACTCCATCTGTAGTTGTCACCATGACCGCAGCAGATAAAATAATTTGTAAATAAGTGTTTTATTTAAAATCAATATTATTACTTCAATGTATTAAACATATTAATTATATTTTAAAACGATTTTCTATTGTTCATAAATGATCTCTACAAAGCGGATTTATTCCATTAAGCGGATGGCGCTTTGCAACTAACGATATTATATTTTGATACTACACTTTAGTAAGGAGATAGAATTCCTACTTAATTTAATATGACTGCATTTTCCATCTAATGTTATTTTTTTATATATTCGTTTCAAAACGGTTTCGTTCACTTTGACAGTCTTTTATGTCCCTCTGCTGAAACAGCTGTCCAAAATATATTCCTTGTGAGATATTATACTAACCACGACCATAGGCAGGCAATTGGTTTAACACAGCACGGTCTAAGTTAAGGCTTTTCAAAACAAAGACGTCTCATTCAGATATTGTGGGGTTCGCGAAGTTTTGTTTACGTATAAGTGTTTGGTGTAAGAAGTCTCCGCTGTTCCCGAGGTCAACAAAGAAAATAGGTCCGATTTATCTATTTTCCTTCGCTCGGCGGCTGAGTTCAGTGAAAACTTTGTAAGTGTCTGCTTTTCTCTGTTCAGGCTGCTGTTACAGTTATTCTATAGTTTGCACTTAGTTGAGAATTTTAACGAAATTTTTATACTCTCTGTTACAATGAAATTTATCGCGAGAGTTTTCGTTGATACAGCACGAACTAAGCTATATTTTTCAATCATAAGTGTTTCACCAATGATGGATACGTTGCTTATAAAATAGACGATTAAATATTCAGTACTTCATATCTCATTTTTATGTAGAATTAAGAAAATTGTTACACACACTTCTATTCACACAACTAATATAATTATCAAAATTTAACCTCTAAAAATTTTAAATAAAAACACCCCCCCCAAAAAAAAAAAAAAAAACCCCCCCCCGGGGGGGGGAGGAAAAAAAAAAGGGGGGGGAAAAAAAAATTTGGGGGGGGGGGGGGGGGAAAAAAGGGGGGGGGGGGGGGGGGGGGGAAAAAAAAAAAAAAAAGGGACCCCCCCCCCCCCCCCCCCCCCCCCCACCAAAGGGGGGGGGGGGGGGTCCCCACAAAAACCCCCCCAAAATTATTTAACACGGGCGCCCTCCCCCCCCGGAAAAAGTTATTTGGGACAGGAAAATTTGTTTTTGCAAACCCCCTGTTCAAGTCTATAAATTTATAAACCCACAAGAATGAATAGTTTTCCTCGTTTATTTTTTACTTTTCCCGCTATTTTTTGCTCCTAGTTATCTCATCGCGATATTTTATAGCCTATAGCCTTCCTCGATAAATTCTCCAACCAACACAAAAATTCAATTCATTTCCGAGATTAGCGCGTTCAAACAAACAAATGTACAAAGAAACTCTTCAGCTGTATATATTCGTATAGATAAAATCGCACAAAATATGATGTAGCCACTTGTATCTGTTTACCCTCTATTGTCGTTCTTGGCTCCACTTCAAATTCCATTCATTACTTATCTACATAGGTCGACGAACCACGCTATGCGATAACAAGTATACTGTACTACGTAGTGATAACGTTATTATATTGTGTAGGCAAATATCAAATCACGGTATGTCCACCATAAACGAAACTTGGGAAATGAGAGAAATGTGTTTTTAGCTACTGATTACTGTATTTCATGGAAATTTCAGCAATTGGGGATTTATATAGGCGTTAGTGAGTATAAGGAATCTATAAAAATAAAGTTTTAATAAGATATTATGCTTTAAAACCATGTTAAAGTTTGGACATATCGGTGTTTGATTGAAACTAAAAGCATTATATCGGAGTTTGAAAAATACCACTATGGACGTAACGGGTATTGAAAAATAGCTACAGGACTTACTTGGTTTTGACAAATCCTATATTAATCCCGTAATTAGGGTTGCTTCATCATAATATTTTACTAAACCGTAAAATAAAACACAGATTTTTTTATTACCATGTAGTAGTTTAATTTAGTAGATTAATAAAACAAAACCTAAGATCTCGTCCATGACATAGTCTTCGGAATTATTTATTATGTCTTCTTCCCTGTCACCAACTAGTTTTATGTTACTTTGCAAGATATTTGTATAATATTTTAACTGAGGGATGTGATACCAGTCAGTGCCAAAATGTTTATGAAATATTTTTTTTATATCTTCTAATTTTATAGAAGGAACTATGTCAATCATTTGAGTATGAATATTGATCATACTTTTTCCTTTTTCTAATAACGAAGCACTATTTCCGAAATCGTTTCTATACGAAATTTCGCCAGTTACTTTAATTTTGTCATTTTAACGCGTAACGATAATACGTTTACAATATTTACTTATCTCAAAATGGAAAGAACCTTTTAAATGATACACACACACATACATACATTTTAATAGAAAAAAAAGGCATATAAATTCAAATGTTTAATTCTTAACATTTGTACAACCCTTGTTTTCAAAACGTTAACGGTTGCAACAAACGCACTATTACGTTAGGATTTGCTTTACTTTTTAGCCTTCTTTTCGACATTATTCTTCTTAACATTTAACACATACATCTTCTTTGCTTTTTCAGGATTCAGCACACAAATTCTTACATTGTTATCATGCATTTTCCCCAAACAATCTAATAAAATAGACGACAACGAAGTGTAAGTTCTCACAACAATCTTCTAACTCACAGCCATCTTGGACGCTATAATTTGCTGTGATTGGTCAATGTGGACTTACTTGAGTTTGATTTTAACTTATCTATAGACATACCGGAGTTTGAAATAAATCGTCGATTTTAACCATCGTTTTAGTGACTTTTTTGGGGACTTACCGTGATTTGGAATAAAGTATCATAAAAACAAGTAAATTTCAAATTTAGCGCCATTCATAGTTCAGTTTCGAGTATGGGTTCGCGTAGAATAGTTAATTTGGGCATTAAAACTTGTTTTAGCAAACCTCCTCATCCTTATAATGATATGACGTCAATCGCGTCCCGTTACTCTTGCGAGTTAATCCTTAAAGATAGCTATATACTATCGTGAACATTTTTTTAGATCGTTCAAAGAGGAATATTTTTTTACACACATTTTGGTAGGTATCTTGATCCATTTTCACAGCGCACGGAACGGTCAAAACACTTGGAGTTATATGAGCCTTAATTAACCAAAAACAAAATTATATTTCAGGATTACATGCCTTCATATATCGATCTAAATATGAAAGCTCTATTCATTTTATCCGGTTGCGGAAGCGGCTGGCTTTTGGCCAAACAACAGAGCCTTCGTTAAGAGGTCACGGTCCTAGATTAGAGAATTTGATTTTTCAAGCTTCACCGATAGTACGGTATTGTAATTGCTTTGATCTTAATTTAGTAACGTAAAGTATAAACTGTCTATAGCTTACGGAGTAGTACACTTTTAAATAAAACACTTTAACGGTTTAAACGCGATATGTATTATGGGTGCTGAAAAGCATCTGAAAGACGCTTTTCAGCACCCATACACTTCAGACACCTTAGCGGTTTAAAACTTTCCGCGTTTCAAACCGTTAAAATGTTTTATTTAAATAAGTCAAGTATATTAAATATAGTAGTAACATAACAAATCCTGAACGTTGTGATCACAAGTTCGAGTCGCTGTTGTGTATTATTTATAATCTAGAATATATTTATCTATCTCACATGTGCATTCGAGAAACATAAATATTTGAGATATGGACTATAAGGATCTATTTTTACTGGAAAATATTTTTATAGTCAGGATATAGCGTGTTAGACGTAGTTATATGTTGGCAAAGCTAAGAAATTAAGACATCAAAGTAGAATACATTCTACGACCTAAATAAAACCTGTACATTGGTACCTATATAACCTCAAAGCTTGTTTAATAAAAATGCCTGTGTAACAAGAGAGCAATATATCCTCGAAACGATGGTAATATACGTTTAATATTCACATTGTTTCTTTCAATATTCTCCTTAATTCGCGACGCCCATTTCCCCCCGGGGTTTCTTGGCAGCTTTAAGATGGATTTTGCGTCACCCGTCATAGATCGTCGGAATCTATGAGAATTCGATTTTGGCTAGTGTCGCTCTTTTTAGCTAGTGTCGATTTATATCATGCTAGTGTATAAATTGAAATAGTAGAAAGATTTTTAGTCGAATCCGAAAGTGACTAACGTTAACTACGGCCTGACGTTTCGGATGCTTTGCAGCAGCCGAGGTCATGGGGAGAGGAGGATGAAAAAATAATTTTTAAACAAGTTTAACTAAAATATATCGCGTTTTAAACCGTTAAAGTGTTTTATTTAATGTGCACTACTCGCGTAAACTACAGACAGTATTTGCTCAGTGTTTGTTTTGTAAAGTAGGAACATTGATTATTAAAAATTCGAATGTTCTTAGAAAAAGCTTGTCAATCGTTCGTATGCAACAGAAAGATAGCGTCAACGCTTTTTTCATTTGAGCAACATTGAGACTATAAACTAATAAAAACTACTAGAATTGAGACAGATTTATTTCGTAGTATATTTAAGTCTTTGTTAATGTTTGTTTTATCGTAAAAAATAAAACTGTGAGTCCAAAGTAGGAGTTTTTAATTAAATTGCATTAACGTAGTATAAGTCACATAGAACACGATAGTAAAAAGTTAAAAAGCTTATTTTTATTTATTCAATAAATTCTTCAATTCGCGTCGTAGAATTTTCCCTCGCGGATTTCTTGGTAGTTTTGTTATAAACTTGACTCCACCGGCCAAATGCATGAATGGGGGAACCTAGAGGAGAAGTATAATGCGTAAATGTTTGATTCAATTTTGAATAACTAAATCCAAAATAGTTCGACAGTACATTTTATTTAGATGGTATATGGCTAGGGAATTTCAACCATCAAGTAAATTCTCTATCATAAAAAAGGTGTTAAATTTTTATCGACATCCCGAATATCACATTAAAAATGTTTGTCCAAATTATTATCATCAAATAATCTTACTTCAGCTGCAACATAGTTAATTAGTTCCTCCTCTGTGACATTAGAATCAGCCTGTCTAACAACAAATGCAGTGGGGATGTCACCATGTACCTCATCATCTTTTCCAACGACAGCCGCTTCTAATACTCCTGGATGTAGTTCGAGGATCGTCTCTAACTCTAGAGGTGGTACCTAGAATACAATCAAAGACTCAAAATTGTATATTTGCTATTCAATATAAGTAAAGTAGCTTGGTGGTGAGTGGTACACAATGAAATAAAATAGTATTTACGTTTTAAAACGCAATATTAGTTCACTTTTTTTTGAATATAAATTAACTGTGGTCCGACATTTCGAGCGCGTTGCAGCAGTTAGTCATGGGGGGGCTGCAGATGGAGGGTATTCTTAAAGTCAAAGTAGTATTAGTTTGGAACTTGACATTAGGGATTTCATATTGATATATTGGTTTCAATTTGAATATACTAATTGTTTCTAAATAAAAATTTGTTAGTGAAGCAAATATGAGTGTGTCTGCCCTCGACAAGAAGAAGTGGAATCTTATTTCATTATTCATCATTATTTAAGTTTTGTCTGTAGTTTAACGAGTACATGTAAATAAAACACTTTTCGCATTGCGGCAGTCCCCCCGTGAACCCCGTGACCACGGCATCCAAAACGTCGTAGCTAATATTTTTTACGTTTTAAACCGTTATCCGTATTTTATTTAAATTTGATAGGTCACTTCTAAAATTAATGTTAATAGTAACCACGCATAGGAAGACGCTCAGACATTTTATAAATCATAAATAAAATGATTTTTTCTGAACAATATTTTTTAATTTATTATTTGTTATATACATTACCTGATCACCATTGTAACACAATATATCTTTAATCCTGTCCACAATATAAAAATACTTGTCTTCATCGTAATAGCCCAAGTCTCCAGTTTTAAGAAAACCGTCTTCATCTAAGTATGTATCACGATCGATTCTAATGTAACCATTCATAAGGACGCGTCCACTTGACCGAATCTCGCCTCTCTCATTTGGTCCCAGAGTTTTTCCCGTTTTCGGGTCTGAAATCTAAAAGTTGATAAGAAGCTTAATAACGTTATCAGTTTATTTTCCTTATGTAATTTGTTTGTTTCGATTCCTTAGTATATACAAAAGTCACGATTCCATTATAGTGAAAATATATTATTCGAAAATGTATAAACAATTTTAGTCTTACTCAAGTTGTGGCAAGCATGACCAGAGGCAACTAATATAAATTTTACTGTCTATAAGGTACAGAAGATATTCTTTACACCAATTTAAAAGTTTATCAATTTTAGATAGATTCAAATAATCCATGACAAAAGTGGCACTTGATTTGTTGATGGTGATTCGTGACCCGGGCAGAGATGTTCAATAATTCATCGGTTTTCCAGGCAAAGTCCTACATATTTCGGGCAAATTATACATTGATTAGAAAAATGTAGGGCCCGGTGAGGATCGATACACGACCCGTTGCTATACATTAAATACTGTCTATAGTTTACGCGAGTACACATTTAAACAAAACACTTTAACGGTTTAATCTAATATATCGCGTTTTAAACCGTTAAAGTGTAGCATTACACCAATAGTAGAATAGGTCTTTTCCCAATTTTACGCTGTACATATCCAATACTTTTGTAACTTACCTTTAATACAAGACCAGGCGATGCCATTCCAACACTGCCTGGTTTTGCGCCTTTCGTACCCCATATTTCTGACGACAGCTCGCCACATTCTGTCATACCGTATCCTTGGAAAATCTCTTGTACTCCCGGGAACCTGAGTGAAACCTCATCATTTTATTGTATCAGCCTAATTTATTTAATGAGTGAAATTACGCAACGTAATGCATTACGTTAAAGGCTAATGGTGTAAACAAAAAGGGAATTTAACCTAAAAGCAATTTTGGTGATATTGACTGATATAAGATGAAATAGCTCAGCCATACAACATCATGACTACATGCACTGTATACCTATATTGGCTTTGAATATTCGGAACTACATAGACTACAATCGAATCGCGGTAGTTCTAGCCTTTTTCATCTATGGACGGTGATTAGTGACCCGTGCAAAGGTTTCGATATCCTATCACCCGACAGATATAATCTCAAAGATTATTGCTTAGAAACATGTTAGTGCAGATAAGATTAAGTAAGATTTATTTGTAACAACTTACCTTTGCTTGATATTTTCTATCGTCTTATTGTGAAGGGGTGCTGAGCGGCTATAGATAATTTTAAGCGAATCCAAATTGTATTTTTTGCTATCCAATACTTTTCCAAGGCCGACTATAAAATATGGTATCAACATAGCCATATTAATCTAGAAGTTAAATGAACAAAGAAACTTTTATTCTTTCAAACGCTATAAGACAATTGAAGGTAATATAAAAAAAAAGATATATTAAAAAAAACTGTTATACGTAAAGTGGAGTAAGTAAAGTTAAGAAGTTAATAAATATTGGAAGAATTTGTTTATTAATAAAAACGATATAACTTGGACATATTTAATTTATTAAATAATTTTACCTTGTATTGATCGATGCATTTCAAAATTTTCTCCGAAGTAACATCGCATAGATATACTACGGTCTTTCCCAAACATAGGAATTTATATGCGGAAAATGTATCGTAATTATGGTACCACTCCCCACAAGTGTATATTGTGTTTATAACATTTAAATCCAAGCTAAAACAAAGATGAGTAAAGAATAGTCACTTTTTTTTTAACAAATAATACTTTATTTACATGTGAAATCTAGTTTTTATAACATAATACTTTGCTATGTCTCTATACTAATATATAAAGCTAAGGAGTTTGTTTGTATGTTACAATGCGCTAATCTCAGGAACTACTGGTCCGAATAGAAAAAATCATTTTGTGTCGGTTAGAACATTTATTGTGGAAGACTGTTAAACATAATATTACTGTGACTAATAGGAGAGAAGTAACAGCGGGAAATGTTGAAAAAACGTGGAAAATTATTCACACTTGTAAGTTTCCACTGCGTACGTTGCGAAGACGGTTTAAGATATCCAAAAAATATGTAGGAAAGAATGCTTTCTCTTTTCATTATCTAAAAAAAGGAAAGTATATGTCTATCTTGTAAGATGAACAGGAGGTTCGACAAAAACAAAAATTCTCCCCACCTCCACCGTCCACCAACGCACCTCACCATTTGTACTTCATTTGTCGAAAGTTCGTCTATCTATATTTTTTTAATCCTTCTTATATATATTATAGGAAATATGATTAGTTTTAAAAGATGTAGTTCAACTTACCTATATGGAACAACGTTTACGATACTGTTCAAGTGTGTTAATAAGACGCCTTTTGGTAAACCAGTTGTCCCCGAAGAGTATAGTATTATTGCCACATCGTTTTCTCCATCTACTTCAGCCGGTTCAAAGGTATCAATGTCAATATCATCCTTCACAAGCAATTGTATCGAAATTGCCGATTTAGGTTCAATATCCAGCGTAAAAAAAGATTTTATAGCGTCAAACGATAGTAAAAGTTTGCTGTATCTTTCCCAGAATGATTCGGACATTATGAAATAGTTCGGTTGAGCTACTGTCAATTTGTGAGCCAGTGCAGCTGTAATGATCAAAATTTGACTTATATATAATAAAACATATTGTGATAAAAACAGTATTGATAAACGATGGTTGTAAAAATACTTATAAATCTAAAAAGATCCTTTGACAAGAAAATATTTTGTACGATTCGGGCGGGACTTGAACCGGTATCTACGGGGTTTTGTGCTGCTCAAACTTGAACTCTCAAACCAATTTTAATTGAAATAAAGTGTTATATATCATGAGCAAAATATTAAAGTTTGAAAACATTCTTGTCGTTTTTCGAAATTGTGTTTTTAAACACAGGTTGGGAGTAATGTTAGTATGTACGAACAAGTTATCTTTAATCGTGAATGACCTGAATTCAATAACCAGTTTAGCTCTTTCGAAAAATTACACAGTTATATGCATTTATTAGCAACAAACGGTAACTCAATTATTAGAGCAACAGAAAACGGTTGCTCGCAGGTTCGAGTCAAAATAGAAAATATATTTTATTGCTATTACTTGTCATATATATACATATTATAATATAAATAAAAAGTTTCATCGAATAAAGAATAGTACATTTGCCAGTTTGCAAGTCGTAAGCCGTATAAGCTGCTCCGGTTAGTAGAATAGCAACTAAAGTGGGTCCGAGATAGTTTCGCTTCTCGGAACCAACTGCTACAACATCTCCTCTTCCAATTCCCAATTTCATTAGTTTATTTGCCAGATTGACAGCGTATTGAGTGAACTCCTTGTAAGTTAATTTTTCTCCGTTCTCCGCGTTTATCTAACAAAGTCAAGAATCATTTATTTACGTAAGTCACTAGGTATACTTTTAAACCTCAATACAGTTAGAAACAAAATGCTCTAAATTTCATTTATTACCATTGTCTAATCAAGGGTGTAAGCTAACGAAAAGAAAATAAAGAAAAAAAATCCTAAGTAAATAAATCTTAAAGCGTACAAAAATTCGCAACTCTATTTTAAAAAATAAAGTTTAAGAAAAGCAAAACGAACACTTTATAACACATTTTTGTATTGTTTTTAAATGTAAGTTTATTTTGAACAATGACCCAACGTACATATGAAATTAGAATAGATAACTGTTTATAAATATAGTTCATATCAATCAATTATATATTATAAAGCTACATTAAAATTCGTTCAGTAGTTTTTATGTTAATAGTGCAAACACACTAACACACATATTTACAAATTTTAACGCGTATTATATTCTATTAATGATTACAATGGACAAGCCTATCCATTGTAATCATATTAAACCGACGACGCTATAACAAATGTGTCCATATATTATTATATTATGCAACTGCAATAAACACACAGTTTAGTCGTACCAAAGCGATATTGCTTTTTTCTTTTTTTAGATTTTCAAGAAGGTATTTTCCAAAATGTACGTGGTGTGGAACTGCAACATTTTTATCACCATAGACAATATTACTCATTGTTTACTATTTAACAAGTCACTCCTATTTATTATTAAATCAGCTGGACAAACAACTGACGTGATATCCGATTCGCGACTAAGTTTTAACTGCACCGTTTTATAAAGTTACGATAATGCAACTCTCAGTACTCTTACGGGTTTGATCAGAACATTTACCTGTGTTGCATTAAAGAGAAATCCCATATAGCTCATGTGAGGGCAGACACAATCTTACGTCCGTTTCACTGATCAATTGATTCGAATTAATTTATTAATCGATTAATTTATTCGAATTTTATGCCCTAACCGAATAAACCAAATTTTTTCTCGGAACTCCATCTGTGCTGCATAAAAGAAAAATTCCGTTTACCTCGTGTGGGGTCCGGTCGGATATATTTTTGCGTCCGTTTCACTCATAGACTTTACAAAAATAATTAATTAGATTTTTACGCCCTAACCCAATGAACTAATTTTTTTCACAGGATACGATATTACGTATATATTAGCGTATCCTTTTCACTGATCGACATGACACAAAATAATGAATTTTATCTGTATGCACTAGCCGAATTACCCTTTTTTTTCTCGGGATTCGAATCCAGGATCTTTCGAGCTGAACACTGGTAATGTCATAAGCAATATGTCTATTTTTTAACAATATATATTATAATAATTATGGTTTTGGGATGTATACTCCTATTTCTTGCAAACTATGTCAGAGGTGTTATTTCTCTTTTAGTTTGGCTTACTGTCGCGTTTCGCACTGACAATTCATGTCTAAGGCGGTCTTATTTGACTTTACGTCATTACAAACTATAGATACAAAAAAATTTAAAATGTCGCTTAGCAAACATTTTGGTGAGGTTAAGTAAACAAGTTTAAAAACTTGATGGAATAAACTGCCCTATATGCTTTCAAGATATATAATTATGACGTGACCTTGCTCATATTATAAATACAACAGAGCCAGTACCATTCCACTATTCATTAATATTGACACAGCTCTGTGAATTTCCAAGAAATCATTCCTATCGCGCATTGTTAACCTTATTTTCATTGTTTTATTTATATATAGTGTAGATTAAAATAAGTAGTGAAATAACTACTGTGCACATACATACACATTTAAATTGAACACCTTAACGGTTTAAAACGCGATATGTATATATTAGTTTCGGATGTCACGGAGACAATGGCAGAGCATCCGAAACATCGGGCCGTAGTTAAAACAATTTTCAAATAAGTTTAACTAAGATATATGTATATAAATAATATAACTTCCCGCGACTTCATTCGCGTGAAATAGTTATTTTGGGTATCATATTATTATTTTTTTATTTTTGCTAACAATCTCACCAGCATTATAATTTATGGCTGTTACCTGCGACGTCGTCAGCGTCTCGTCGTTCTTCGGATAGATTTTTAGATCAATTAAAAAATAATTATTCTTTCATACCTTCTTTTGTTGTCTTGAAGTGTTTCGGCAGTTCACACAATAATATATTAAGATAATTTTCCCCTTTTTTGCCACATTTCTCTATGATTCTTCGCTCGCTATTGGTCGCATTCTGATGTTTTATAGTCTAGGGGCTTCTTCGATAAATGGGCCAACATAGACAAAAATACCTATCCAATTAGACCTTCTTCAAATATCCTTTAGCTTTATAGTATGAGTATAGATGTTGGTGTAAGATTTTAACCTAAGAGTTTTATTTAAATAAAACACTTTAACGGTTTAAAACGCGATATATTAGTTAAACTTATTTTAAAATGATTTTTAACTTTTAGCAGCAGCAGCCGTAGTTACGATGACCCCGTGACCAAAGCATCCGCAACGTCGGGCCGAAGTTAAAAATCATTTTCAAATTCTGGTTAGAGCAGCAGCACTACTGTACGTGGTTCCCCGCACGTGTCGTATTTTTTTCAATGTAAATGCTATATTGTTGTTACAGTATGTTAATATTGTACTTTGTATTTTCAATTATTTATATCTAAATTGTAATTGTGTCTTTAATACAAAAATTAGCATTTTATCGGAACGATGGTACCAAACTGTTAAATACATACAATATGCAAATAAGCAATAGAGGATTTTTATAAGTAATATTGTTTTGTATTCTGAAACGGCTGATTATGACATAAATTTAATTGAATAAAGATTCAAAAATGCGCTGATCACGAGGAAGGGAATTACGATTGGTAGAGGAACGGCACCGTAAGCTGTAGGTTGTGACTTTGAGTTTCGCTTGTAACATTTTTTTAATGTACAATATTTTTAAACGAAACTTTATTTACCAAATAATAGTACGCGTGGCTTTGTTTTTGTAAGATTACGCTGTGATCGACCGTCAGGCGAATTTCATAAGACTAGTTAACTAATAATAATGTTTATTATTAAATTGTTCGATCTAAATAAAATACGTCAATGGTTTAAAACGCTATCTATATATATATAAATAGTTAAATTATTTTAACTACGATGCAATGAACACGGCAGTTGCAAAAGCTTTCAGGCAGTAGTTAAAATAATTTACAAATAAGTTTAACTAGTATATATCGTGTTTTAAATTAAAATTTAAAAATCAAAATGAAATCGAAAAACTTTTCGACTCGGGCAGGACTTGAAACGGCATCGTAGGCGTTCCGTGTTGTTGCTCTTCAACGCTGACGTTGCCGGTTCAAGTCCTGCCCGAGTCGAAACATTTTTCAATTTATTTTCGATTTTTAAATTGTATAGTGCCGTCATGTGCAATAACATGTAAAAAATAATAAAGTTTTCAAGAGTTTTAAATGGTTAAAGTTTTATTTAAATGCGTATTAATCTCGTAAACTACAGACAGTATTTAAGGTGTGTGATGAAATTAGAATAGACAATAACGATTTATTTACCACGCAAGTAGCAACTATAGCAAAAAACACTTAGAATATGGCATAGAGCTGATTCAAGTCGATAAAACAATCACTTTATTAAGATAACTTTCATTAAAGTAGGTGGATGAAAATCGTATTAATTAATTAACTCTTGAAGTACAAAAGCCCACTTATTACAGTCTTATCTAGGTTATATTTATATTGTTGTTCAATTGAGTGATGTTCTTTGTGAGAAATTATTTTAAAAAGGAGTTTATAACACCTTACTATTTTATTTACTTTTATTCCTAAATTTTAAATTTAGTCTTAAGACAAACGATATTTTTTGTTCTTTAATATCCGTCCGTTTATATTTTTATCTTATTACGTTGGTTGGTTTTGCAATTTAAGCGATACATTTATAACTATTATACAACAATTTGAGTAATAACGTACCTACTGCTGCTTTATCGTTGAAGCTGCTTCAACTTTTGAAAAATACGATGAAATAATTTCGTCGCCTTCGCCAATCCAAGGATGCTAGTGATCATCTAATTTCCTTTCGATGTCAGAAGGATACAGGAAAGCTACTGAAAATCTTACCTATACTTAAATCTTTGAACTGACAAAATGGATTAATCATCATCACCAATGGATGTACAGCCCCTAGTGAGTTAGTCTCCGCTAGTCTGTAGTATACTGTGTCAGGATCAAGGGGTGCAAATGTAAACCATTAGGCCAAAAGACCACCATCAAACTTTTGCTTATAATGCCGAGACAGAATAGCCTAACTGCAATTTTAGTGACTTCACTTATTTGTATTTTCATAGTCTAAAAATATTAATTTACAAGAGCACAGAGACTTATTAACATAATTCTTACACAAATAATAGTAAAAATTAATTTTTGCCCAAGTTTTGAAAACTTTATTATTTTTTTACATGTTATTGCAGGAAGGCACTATATTATTTAAGGAGCAACACCACGGAACGCTGACGATGCCGGTTCAAGTCGTGCCCGAGTCGACGATTTTTAAATTGATTGCACATATTTATTTTCCTCTTCATTATTATTTTTGTTATCAGGCCACTTTCTTAGCAGCTTCATATGTAAGTGTGTTTAATTGGTTGTGTAAATATTATATTGTGCTAATCACTTAGCAATAATTGGCAATAACGGTCAGCTAATGACCGTATTGTGGTGTAAGGAGAGTTGTATTGATTCGATCGAAAGTGGGGCATTAAGGGAGTTGCACAGATTGCCGTTCATTACATATTAATGGAATGGCGGTCGACACTACCTGCGTCTACATGGGAAACTACTTATAACATACACTGTATTCGTCCCCATGTTTTGATTATTTGGTATGTACTGTCTATTAGTCACCACTGCTGCATAGCATCTGAAACGTCGGGCCGTAGTTGGAAATAATTTGTAAGTTCATATAATATATTTCGCGTTTTAAACCGTTAAATTGTTTTATGGTACATATTGGATTATTTATAATTGTGTTTTCAATATAATAAAAAAAATTTTTAGGCAAGTTTTTAGTTTTCTCTGCCAAATCGGCTTTTAATTCATACATGTTTCTAACTCGGGTAATTTATAAATCGTAATATAGATCAATAAGTCTATTAAGGAATATATAAATTAATATAATACAAAAATCAAATAGTAATAGTAAAAGATTAGAAGTGTCCGTATCATCCAAGATATCATAAAAAAGACTGAATACTAAATACTGTCTATAGTTTACGCAAGTAGTACACATTTAAATAAAACACTTTAACGGTTTAAAACGCGATATATTAGTTAAACTGTTTTGAAAATGATCAACAGCATACCGGCAAACGCGAAGACACCGTTAGCAAATTCTGCAAGGACCCGGCCAGTTTCGCCAAATACCAACTTCGACGGAACAGATGGCGCTAGCGTAGCAACTTTTACTTTGACGTCAGAGACATCCTCCATCTTTAGTCTCCCCGTGACCACGGCTGCTGCAGAGCATCCGAAACGTAGGACCGAAGTTAAAAATCATTTTCAAATCAGTTTAACTAATATATCGCGTTTTAAACCGTTAAAGTGTTTTATTTAAAAGACTGAATACTTCTATCTTTATTACGGAACCATCTTGCTGTCCTCTGTATTTTTAATGAGAAAAAATTATATGATATATCCAATTGAAATTGTCAAATACTCTAAGTAGTATCAAATCTTTGAACTCGCAGTTCTAACCACAACACAAAATTAAATTCTGAAGGGGACTTCGTGTAATAAAAACTACAAATTATTATCAAAGCAGTGTTTTATTGAACATTATCGTTTGGCTTTTAACAGCTGAATGACAAAATAGTCTATTACAATAACTACAGACAGGGGCTACAATTTAATCGCTATTAGGTATACATTTTAAATAATTACATAGACTTAAATCAATTCAACAATTATACACTTAAAAAGTCTCTACACTTCTAATCATTAGATAAATACTTGTGCGTAAATTAAAACAAATGTAAAGAAAAATGTCTAAGAAAGCTCCCAAGATATATAGTTTTAGAATAAAATAATGCGATTTAATTAATATCGGTAAATAAATGATTTTTCCATCGAACTATTATTAATTAGCTAAGAATCTGTGTTTTTAAGAAATTCTACCAGGCTTATTCAAATTTACAAAATCGATGTAGAAAATTCGATCATCTAGTAGTTACAATCTATTTATACACTGGATTACATCTACATTAAATCAAATATTTCAAAGCAGTCGTTACAAACAAATCTTTCCACTCGCTTTTTATATAGTAACACATATGTCCGTACAAAAATGTCGTGTTTAAATCAGCTTCAGACATTGTTTAATGTTATTGTCTGTTCAGCAAAACGAAGTTATAAAGGAACTTGTATTGATCACAAAATATAAGCTATACCATACATCAAGAGTGAGCTATTTTCCTCATATAATATAAACATACAGACAATAACGCTATAAGTGTGGTATTAAAATTAGGAGCGGCAGCCGAATTCTCGTAGAAGTCTGAAATAGAACATGAATTTCAAGTTAATTGTGAGCGTGGTAAATAAAATGACAAAACGTAGCTTTAAAGGTAGGCAGTTACGAAATTACTTTGTAACTTTAAAAGTCCCGAGTCCTTTTAAAGAAACCATTTAAAAGAAAACAGTTTTGGAAGTTTACATTGTTTTTAAAGGTTAATTTTAGCCTTCGAAGTGAGTAAGTAGATTTCGTCTCTTTAAGGATCTTTTAATTACACTATACAAATGTACATACCGAAGTCCCGGATTTGTCCGTCAAACACCTCACCTTGAAATGTCGAACTGATTGCCTCGTTTGTTTGCACCAGTTGTCCTGTAAGTTTAAAATACATCAAACTGCGCTTGAGGCAGTTTTAAAAACGTAGGAACAAAAATATTATTCAAATTTCTTTTAAATTAAGTACATTAGTTAACTTTTTTTACATACTATACTGAAAAAGGAGGTTCTTCCTAATATCAAAGTCAAATCTGTTACGCTAGCTCCATCTGTGTCCTCGTACTTACTATTTAGGGAAACTATTCTGTATGGCGTTTTTGAGTTATCTAATTTAAGTGTTTAATTTAAATGTGTTCTACTTATATATAATACTTAATTTAAATTTCCTAATTTAAAAGTCGAACACACGAGTTAATATATCCAATAAACGTTTAATAGCAAACCAAATAAAAGTACAAATAAAGTTCGCAAGGCTTTCTTCCAACGAGGAATATAATTTTTAAATTGTGTAAGGTTTTCACGGCCATCGTTCAGCATATCATTGTCTTTCGGGCTGTTCGGCCGACGTGAGCGAGAAGAGGTTGTCGACGTTTCGCCATCACGTGTGAACGGCATCATCAGGAGATGTTAACTCCTCGATTGCTCGAAGAATAATTCTTTTCACATCGGTCGAACAGCCCGAAAGACAATGATATGCTGAATATAATTTTGTATATATATATATATCTATATTATTACATATTTTACAAAAATCAATGTGTGCATGACTAATGCTTTTATATATAAAACCATAAAATAATAAAATAGTTCTAGCATACCTTTCTTTCTTATCGTTTGATTGTCTAGTATCGATTTCTGCGTAGTTGTGAAAGCGGACGGCGGTGCCGGGATCTCTGGAATAACAACTCAATTAGGGAATAATTAGCAAATGCGCTGATTGCTTTTATAGTGGCTCAATTATATCAATACGAAAATTTCAATCGAAGCTCTGAATGTCTATCAAAGTAGTTTTGCTATAAAACTAGTAAGTAGTCTAAATTCTCTCTTTAAATAAAGTATCAATTAGTTTGAACCAATTAACATTTAAATTTAATTTACAATATTTTTGTAATTTCTTCACGTCGTTATCGGCGTGGGTTCGAGTCATGTTCGTGTTAATAATCGGGTCGCGTCGATACAATCTCAATACTACAGTCAATTTATAATTGTTTTGAAACATTTTGGACTTAGTCTGAAATCTGGAAACGAACCACCAATTAAAGATGAAAACGCTGTCAACTTTAATTGCGTTTCGTTTACAGTCTGTGGATTTTCGAATATCCGAAAGTCAAAATACGTTGACAGCGCATCTTGCTTAGATATTATATGTTTAAATAAAACACTTTAACGGTTTAAAACGCGATATATTAGTTAACTTAACGTCGGGCCGAAGTTAAAAATCTTTTTCAAATAAGTTTAACTAATATATCGCGTTTTAAAGTGTTTTATTTAAATGTGTACTACTCGCGTAAACTATAGACAGTATTTAGATATCACTTAAGCCCCATGCGTGTCTATCCTCCTCCTCTATATTAAAAAAACTTGTATAAATTTTAAAACATTTTATATTTCTTTAGAATCAAAGCAAAGTACCTGAGCATAACGCAATGCCTGCTAGCTTTGGTTTCTATGGTTTGAAATCATTAATCTTATTATTGTTCTTGCCCGATGTATAAACCGAGTAAGCAAACTGATGAAAACTGATTACATCCGTCCAGAATGCTCAGCTTTAGGCCGTAGCTGTTCTTTGAGGTTCGCAATTCATCAAACTCAATGGAACAAGGTACATACAAATCCTATTCATTTGTAGTCGACATAGTTGTGTGCGGGCAAACAATTTAATGGCTATGTAAGCCACAACAAATACTAAGGCACCGTTTATGTTTTAATTAAATTGAAAATTCAGGAATAATATCGGTAACTATAGATAAAACATAAAACAATTTTGTACTGTAGCGGCCGGCGAAAAAAGCTTTAATGGACGAACTTGTGAATCAATGCCAAGACTTGTATAGAACTTATCTCAAATAATACGTGGAAATTAAAGCTAAGTAATTCAGAGCTTGCGATGCGATGTTGAACAAGTAATAACATTCGTTTTTTACGCTCCAAAGTATTTTTTTTCACTAAACAGCTTTCTATGTGCAAAGCCAGTTCGAAATTTAAATTAAACCTTTGATAAGTTACCTCTTTGGTCGCCATGTTGCGGAGTTCTAATTTTAAATTACACGACATGTATGATTTTGCACAGGAATTTATTTGGCTTTATTATTATGGATTTTTTTATTTATTTATACAACTATTGCCGGCCAATATAAGTTAGACTTATCACGAAGAAGGTTGTCAAAGCTAAGTTGTTCTAAGCATGTTTAAGAGAAAAATATAATATAATATGTAATGTTAAATAATGTGTTTTTTATAGTTAATATTGAAGTGTTTTCGATAACTTTGGCGAGACAACATTCTCAGATTCGTCTAGCTCAAATATATATAATATGCTGCAATTTGTTCTAACAAGAGCACGTTAAAGCAAACTTACCGTCGAGCTTAATAATGCCGTCTGTTTCCCCGAGTGAATTCTTGGCTATACACTTGTAGAAACCGAAATCTTCTTTCGTAATATTCCGTATCTTGAGCATCATGAACTTGTTGTAGCCGCTGTCGACGGGAATCGCTTCGTATTTTCCACCTACAATTTCCATTTCTACTTCAATTATAAAATCTGCTCTGCGAAATATTCTGGCGAAATATGTGGGACTTTATGTAACTGTAATTTATAGTACGTGCACTCGGCAGTACTTTATACACAAATCTAAATATATTTACTAGGTAAACGTGTTTGGGGTTGGGTAACAAACTCCCGTCTTACTTAATGTAAATTACACAAGTTATAATGTATATATACGAATATCTTACGACTATATTATATATAGACTATATACTCAAGAATATAATAATTAATTATTGTTATATATTCTTTGATAATATATTTATAGTTCACAGGTAGCGCATAACTAAAATTTGATAAAACTGAGTTATACTAATTAAAATATTAAAACTTTACTATTTTTACATGTTATTGCACGTGAAGGCTATATAACTTAAAAATCATTGCGCAATAACAGGGCGTGATAGGTGCATGTATCAATAAGTTGAAAAAATTCGACGATGAGGTGTAGGACTCGGTAGCTCAATTGTTAGGGCAACAGGACGGGACGCTGACGATGTCTTTTTATTAAAATATTATCTTAAATAAAACACTTGAACGGTTCAAAACGCGAAATATATATTAAACATATTTTTAAAATATTTTAACTACAGCCCGTTTTAAACCGTTAAAGTGTTTTATTTAAAGGTGTACTAATTGCGTAAGCTACTGTCATTATTTAAAAATGTCCTTTATAAATGAAATTAACATATCAGTGTTAGGTATCATTTAACTTACGTTTAACAGAAAACTAATTCCGCTAATGTAAATTTTGTAACTTAACTTCCTATTTTACGAAAGTTTAGTGTAAACAATTTTACAATTGCAATGATAGACTGGGCACTTACCCATAAACGGGTTATTTCCGCTCCCATGTTAAAACTAAACTCTATAAACATCATCGTGTTTCAGAATAACATTAAATTAGTTTGGAAATTTTTGCAACAAACTTCGTTTGGCAAAAATAGTGAATTGCGAAATACGCTTTTCCCTGCAGGCGGGGAATGACATCGGCTACAAAGTAAAAAGTTTACCGTTACACGCTGGATAGCCAGCCAGCGCTTTCCTCAACAACTACTTAGTCAAATGCCCTACCAAAGTACAATCTTTCAATACAATTTCTCCAAAGTTTCCCTATTAAATTAGAATATTGTAACAACTTTTACCTGTATAGACGTTAATAATACATAATGCAGTGTTTATCTTAGTTTTAAAATAATATTAGTTTAGTTCTTGACTGTAATAAATTGTTATTTTTTTATTGTAATCGACGCCGCTGACTGGAGTCAAAAACACGATGTCATTAAACAGCGTCATTTCACGACTATGTTTTGTCAACAATTTTCGATTTTTAAATTGTATAGGCTTTCATGTGCAAAAAAATATTCAAACAATTTTGATTCTCAAAACACATAGTTTAAGTTACTATAGAGCTGTATATGTAAAAGGATTGAGATTGTAATGAAAAACTCAAACTAGGCCTTGTTAGTTTTGGTACTGGGACCTTTTGACGAAAAACTTTAAACCTTAAACCTACTGCCACCTCGTACACAGAGGCTGAGGTTTATGCAATTAACAACATCAATAAAAACACCCTGTTTGTTTTTTGGTGGGGGTCCAGCTTCGATTTCGACTAGATGAGCCAGACGATTTGAGCTCTCATTTCCATCATACCGTAAAATTAAAATTCAAGTGCAATAAAATAATAAGAAATCTTTGACGCAAAGCGAAATAGTATTACGTAAAGAGAATTTAATTGCTCACAAACGTACTAGGTACATATTCAACGCTGTATCGTACTGAAAGTGTTTGATTCACGCATGACTAAACACAATGCAGTGCCTTTTCCTTTATAGGGAAACTATTTTCATTATCGGATAATAAATCATTGATAGAATCGTACAATATAACATTTTGACAGCGACAGTGGTGTATGATGTATAGTTGCTATTGTAAAAGTTATTAAATGGTTGCTATAAAATGAATTATGTAAGTAATAGTATTTTAGGTGGCTATATGAGTAAAATAAAACTGAAATCCCATTCCTGTGAGGTATGGGGCTAAGATGTCTGTGTCCATTTTACTGATCGCTTATATTTATAAACCTCTATACCCTGACCGAAACACATTATTGGGATATTCGAACCCTCGACTTCTCGTACTTAATGTAAAGCTAGGCTAATAGCCCGTATATGTAACTTCTGGGTGTGAAAAAAACCCGTTTGAAACTAATATTAATACGCTGAGAGGTCCCCGTGTGCAAGCATCCGATGATTCACTTCTCATAAATTGTGATTACAACTACTTATGATTTAGAACTCCAAGCCTTCAAAAACCAAGTTTTCAGGAATATAGACATGCAGACAACAGTTATTATGGATATTCAAGATTTGTGTATTTCCCTGAAATCGGGATTGCACGAAATAAAAAAGTAAGTCGGTAGTTGAACAAAGTGATAAAAAGAATAGATGAAAAATCAACAGTGATCTCAATGTAAATAATGTGTAGTCTACTCTTACCGAGGACACGTCGGATAAAGGGATAGAAAATATAAAAACACCATCATTTGCTAAAATTTCTCAAAACTCGAGGCAGGTAGGCGATAGTATTGTACCCGCCAGCTCAGCGACAATAAAAACGCGACGAGCTAAGAAACCTCAATTACAATCGGTGGATCTTCAAACCGTAGAGGTAGGACATAGGAATAAGAAAAATAATTCCCAAGAAAAAGTCTTAAGGTCAGAAATCTGCAGATATAATACTAGGAAAAAATTGCAATATAAAAATTGCAATATAATTGAGATTAAGGTTTCAGAAGAAAAATAAAGCATCTACATGTTAGGAGATTGAAAATTGGTACCACAGTGGATCAGCTATCAACGTATGTACAAAAAATATGTGGATCGGATATTGATACAAAGATTATTAAACTAAAAAATAAACGGGAAAGAAGCTATTCTTCTTTTATCACCGCTTCAGAATCAGTGTATCAGAAGTTATACCAGCCGGAAGTTTGGCCCATTCATGCAGAGTTTTCTCAGTGGCATTGGTTTTGTAAATCAAAAAGCAAATCAACCAACGAATAATACTCATTTAACGATTTATTATCAAAATGACAGGGGCCTACGAACTAAGTTGAACAGTTTTTGTAGCAACATAGAATATTTAGAAGCTGATATCATTACTATTACTGAAACTGAATGTAACGACTCGACAATGGACGGCGAAATTATACCGGCAGGGTACCAAATTGTTCGGTGCGACCGTACTGACACGCGTAGACATTTCTAGTGGCCGCGCGCGGTTTACGAACACAAAGAGTGAGCCGAAGCGAACTAGTCTGTGCGACCGTTCACTCGAATGACAAATTATTGTTATATCTACCTCCTAAAATCAGTGTTTAATTTGTTATGCTTAAGTTCATTAGAACGACTGTGTTTAAAATACGAAAAAGTGTTATTGATAGGCGATTTTAATTTGTATTCTGCTAGTGAAGTTGGTAGAAATTATTTTGAATGTTTTAAATCTTATTGTGATTTCGCTCAGGTTAATAAGATTCCGAATTGTAATGGTAGGTGACTAGATCTAGTGTTGTTCTCGTCATACTGGTGGGATAAAGTGTCGGTGAAGGAGGCGGACGAGCTCTTGGTGCCAGCGGACACGTGTCACCCTCATGATTGAACTGCACTACCCCCGCTGTACCAGGATAGGACTTGACGCTTTGCATAACTGGGAAAGTAGCACGTCTGCAGGTAAAAGTAATTTATCTTGGAATTTCTATTAAGCAGACTTTTTCATTATATCACTCACTGAGTCTCGTCGATTGGGCTAATATGCGGAACCCGGATGTCGCCCTCGCAGTGTTATATGATATTTTGAATAACATTCTAGATAGGCATGTGCCTAGAAAGTCTAACGCGAAGAAACATAAATATAGCTATCCCGAAAGGTATACACCGATATTATCACTCAAAATATAAATGCGAAAGTAACTATAAAACTCAAATAAGCATATAAAAATAAACTAGACCTTAGATATAGAAAAAAAAAAAAAAAAAAAAAAAAAAACAAAAAAAAAAAAAAAAAAAAAACAAAAAAAAACAACCCCAAAAAAAAACCCGGGGCAACACTTTTAAAAAAAAAAGGGCCCAAAAAAAAAAAAAACCAAAAAAAAAAAAAGCGGGCGGAAAAGGAATAAAAAGCTTTTGCAATTCGTCGGAAGAGAGTTAAGGCTAATCTAAAAAAGACATTCCAGATATACGAACAACGAATTCAAAAAATAATAATTAAAGACCGTAAATCTTTTTGTAAATATATCGGAGCAAAAAAAATTGTCCGCACAAAAACAAACGGTTTATAAAAACGGAATCGAATTCGGAATGTGACACTATCATGTCAGAATTCATATTCTGCATATGATGATTGGTTTTTTATAAATAAAAAAAATATTGAAACAAAATATTTAACAACGGTCTAAAAGGCGAATGTTAAGTAATGCCAACCACCCATTATTAAAAATTCTAACATCCGTGTATACGTTTTGATACAAGGACTTTATGTTACCGTTTTTATAGCAGTTCCAATCTATAATTTTAAAACATGTTTTATGCAATACCAGTAACGCATCTGAAACGCTATTTTCTAGGATCTTTTGTGTCTCTCATTTCATCGGAAACAAAAACAACAAGGAATCAAAGGAAACTTCCTTTGTTATTCGTTACATCTGAGTGACTTCAATAATCTAAATAGATACAATGTTGCACTGCTGTATTTTTAGCCGTTTTGCTCTTTTAGCATCAAGTAAGTGGAAAAGTACTTTAATCTTCTAAATAGGTTGCCGACAACATGTTAGTACGATTCTTTTAATTTAATTAATTCCTTTAGCAACTATGTAACTGCTTATTTTGTTAACTTTGCCTTAGTTTACGTAAGAGAATACATACTACATACTAATAATGTAAAGGAGTCCATAAGCCAAGAAGTGTCACGTTACGTAACGCGTTACGAAATGGTAAACTCTCTCGTAAGAACTATATTTAGATTAAGTATTTCTTTACTAAACAACATAACGCTAATATTATGAATGTTTTGTTTATAAAACTGAAAATTAAATCTCATTTAACAAAGTAAAGAATAAAATTAGTAAAAATCTCACCGGATATTATCATATCCCCTTTATCTGTGGTCCAATAGTTGATGGAGGAAGGGTAGGCTTCTGTGTGGCATTCCAGAGTTACATCTTGACCCAGATAAGCGCCTTCCAACTGATTTGGAATTGATAACATAGGTGGAACTGAGAACAAAATGTTATTATCAGAGGATTGTTTCCAAGTACAATATATGTGTAAAATAAAAAACTTTAAGTTTAAACGCGTGTCCCGTGCCAGGTGCTGCAAAGCATCCGATCGGGCCAGTTAAAAATCATTTTCAAATAAGTTTAACAAATTTATTGGTTTTAAACCGTTGTTTTTATTTAAATGTGTGGAAGTGTGTATAATTCAAAATTGAATGACCATGCACATAAGTACTTATGAAAATAGACAATGTACGGTTAGGGATTCTGTTTTCAAAATTTTACAACATTACAATTATGGCTTGTGTATAGCTTCAAAAGTCAGTCTTAAAATATAATTAGACAAATTATTACATACTATAAAACCATATCATACATTTCCTTGTTATTCGTTCTATTATTAAAACATTTTCTGCATACATCCCTTTTAAGCTTGATAGTATATTTTATTAAAGAGGAATGGGAGATTGACATTAAATTACTGTAAGTAAATTTTGCACCAAACTATTCTGCAAATAAGACGGGCTCGTAGGTGTAATGGTAGCAACGGGTCGTGGGTTTGATCCTGAGAGAGTTCAACATTTTTTTATATCAAATTAATTTTTCTGAGACATGTTGGTCTTCGTCTGGAGATAAATTGGGTGGTAGGAATATCGAAATTTCGTTTGGGGGGTGGCCGGTTTTTTGAACCGGCGTCCAGATGAGACAGTGCATCTCTTTTCTATTATATCGCTGGGATATTTCCCCATGCTACCTTCAATTAAACCCCATGTTTGTCTTTCCTCGCTCTATGAGAAAAAAAAACACAAATCTTACAGAGAAAAAATTACACAGTTCTTCCATAAAACTTTAGTTTCTTTCTATCGTTTGGTCCGTTCAATTGATAGAGTTCTCAATTCTCAAAAGCTTACGATTGACTATTACTGTTCGTTTTCTGATCTCTCAGTGTAACTAACTATCATGTAATGAACGGTTCGCGCTAATCCGAAGAACTAGTCGTGTTCGTTCGTTCAATCGCATACGACTCAACGCAGCCGGGTTTTCTGAATTAGATATCTTATTATTAGGGACAATCATTTGTTTGCGTTTTGCGTGAATAATAGAACTAGTTATTGTGGAGACTCCAAATTTATTTTTGCAAACCACTTATAGAAATGTCGCGGACATTTCTTTAGATTTTATAAAGACGAATAACTCTTTCATAAATATATTTTGGGTATCGTAGAAACTCTCCAAGGTGAATAATTTTCCACAGTCTCATCTCTGTGTTATATCTGCCTTTTTCGATAAATGTTCTAACCAACACAAAAATAATTTAACATGCTCCTATTCGGCCTGTTAAAATTAAACACTTTCCCTCTCCCTGGTTAACAAAGGAGTTAAGAAGCCTCATCCATAAAAAAAATTGTGCTAAGGCTAAGTTTAAGCTTAACAACAATGACGCCAATCTGGCGAGATATAGATCCCTCCGAAATGAATGCAACAGAAGGTGTAGGGACTCTCAGAGGAGATATTTTTATAAATCCGTTGAGAGCGGAAACACGCCTAAAACCTGGAAGTTTCTCAATTCCTTGGGTATCGGCAATCGGTCTCGCTCAGTTTCAGTATCTCCCAATTTTAATCTTGACTTACTTAATCAGCACTTTACTTCTTCTCCTAAAACTTTCGATCCCTCTAAAAAAGCTGAAACTCTAAATTTTCTCTATTCGCTCCCTAAACCTGGCTATCCTCAGTTTTGCTTCTCTAATTTCACGGATGAAGACGTTAAGAGAATTGTCATGTCGGTTACTTCTAATGCCTTGGGCTGTGATAGCATTGGTCGTGCTATGATTCTTCCTATTCTTGACGTAATATACCCTATCTTAACACATATCCTGAACCATTCCATACGTACAGGAGAGTTTCCTCTCATCTGGAAAAAAGCCTACATTATTCCTCTCCCAAAAGTTAATATTCCTACTAACTCAAACGATTTTCGCCCTATTTCAATTCTACCCTTCCTTTCTAAAATCTTGGAAAAATTAATACATCAACAGCTTTGTCTCTTCCTCAACAAGAACTCTCTTTTCAATTCTCATCAATCAGGCTTTCGAGCTGGTCATAGCACGATTACTGCATTGCTAAGGGTAACTGATGATATCCGAATGGCTATAGATGATAGACAAGTTACAATTTTGACTCTGGTTGATTTTTCTAACGCTTTTAATACGGTTGATTTTGATGTTTTACTAGCGCAATTACGCTCTCTTAACGTCTCGACTACAGTTCTTAATTGGTTTAATAACTATCTAAGGGGCCGCCAGCAGTGCATTCGGGTGGGTGATACTACCTCTTCGTGGAGCACTGTTACTTCCGGTGTACCTCAGGGTGGTATATTATCTCCTCTCCTCTTTTCCATCTTTATAAATTCAATCTCCTCTCTATTCTCGTGTCGTCATCACTTATATGCCGACGATCTCCAAATCTACACTCACTGTTCTTTAGAAAACATCTTAGATGGGATCAAATTAATTAACACCGATACTCAAGTAATTGTAGATTGGGCAAATTCACACGGCCTTTTAATAAATCCGATCAAAACGCAGGCAATTATTATTGGAAGTCCCCAACAACTGTCGAAAGTAGATTGGAACAATCTACCTCTTATAAGCATACATGGTACCAAGATTCCTTATAGTAAGTCGGTTAAGAATCTTGGGATCTATATTGATGCCACTCTGTCATGGAATGATCAGATTAACAAAGTTAGTAGAAAAGTATACGGCGTTGCAAATATGCTGCGCCGTCTACAAAACTTTTTGCCAATTCCTACAAAAATATTGCTTGCGGAGTCATTGTTGTTATCCTTACTCGACTATGCCGATGTTTGTTATTTAGATCTAACTGAGGAACAAGTAAATAAGTTGGAGAGGCTTCAAAATTTTGCAATTAGATTTATTTATGGTCTCCGGAAATACGACCACGTGTCAGAATTCCGTGCTAAACTTAATTGGTTGCCTATTAGACTACGACGAAACACTCACATCCTCTGTCTTCTTTTCTCTATTCTCTTCGATCCTCGCACTCCTACCTATCTTAAACAAAGGTTTATATTTATGGGTTCTTCCCATGAACTTGACCTTCGTTCCTCATACAACCGTCTCCTTTCTATGCCTGCCCATTCATCTAAATGCTATGACTCTTCTTTTTCTGTTCAGGCTGTTCGCCTATGGAATAAGCTCCCACCCGCGATTAGGCTCTCACAAAGTCTTGACTCCTTCAAGACCAAAATCAAACAACATTTTCTTGAAAGTATTGTCCAGTCTTGATGTTATTGGCTTATACTTTTATTATTTATAAAGTTGCATCTTTGTAAAATCAAAATTAAATCTTAAGTTTTTAATATTTAGTGTGTTAACGTTTTTTGTTGTGTTAGTTCTGATATCAATGTATTTTACAATTTATTGCATATTCTCTCTCATTCTCGTTGACTTTTACTCATTTATTGTTATTTTGTTTTCCTTTTCTTTATACAAAGGTTGCCTGGAAGAAATCGCCATAGGCGATAAGGCCGCCTTTGCACTAACTTTTTTATGTAAATAATTATTTTAGTTTTACTATATCTGTATATTATTTGTTTGTGCAATAAAGTGTTTTATTATTATTATTATTATTAATTTTTCAATTCGGACCAGTAGTTCCTGAGATTAGCGCGTTCAAACATACAAACAAATAGACTCTGCAGCTTTATACATTAGTATAGATAGATAATTAGCTTGAACCATGGATAAATAAGGAAGGTTAATACTCACACTGAACCATCAGCATGATGCGTTTGCTGATAGATGGAGGCACCCCGTTAGATGCTATACAGAGATAGGCGCCCATGTGCAGCCGGGACACTTTTGTAATTGTCAATGTCTCGCCGTCAACCACGCTTACTGTTGAAAGAAGACGTTGGTCCCGTTTAAGAAATTACCATTTATAATATGCATAATTTTTGATAAAGGACAACGAGACTAAAATGACGAACAAAATAGACTAAAGTAAAAATCGAATTAAGATTAAAAACTTAAACAGGCATCCACAGCGCTCCATGCTGTTATTCTAATTGAGCTACCTTTTCGTATACGTCATCTTCGAAATTTTTACCCTAATTTACCATTCGTACAATGTAATTTTAACCTTAACACTTGCTAGACTCTCTTCAACATTTTGCAACCATTAAATAATAATAATAAGGGATAGCAATAAATTTATCGCCGTTTCTATGTTTAGGCTTTACAAAAAAATTAATTTTGGTTTCATCTTTTATTTTCTAAGTCGGTATATAGACCTGACCTGACCGATATAGAGTCATTGACCTAATAAAATTAAAGTCCGATTTATAATTACCTGACTCTCCATTATAATTAAAGTCCTGTCCATCCTCGCGTCTCCACATGACGTAGGGCTCCGGGTAGCCGGATGCGCGACAGACCAGCGTCACATCAGCGCCCTCTCTAACCACCATATCCGTTGACGTCATGTTATCGATGATCGATGGAGGCACTATCAATTGTTCGAACCTTTAATTAACTAACGGAAGGTCTTACGATAACTTGGAACGTGAATAAATTAGTAACGTGACCCATAAAGTTATGAACACTATGGAAATTATTCTATGAAGCCATATAGACATATTATGTACCTATACAAGTACTTGTGTTATTGTTAGAGTACATTACATCGATTATTATATAATACATGAATAAACGAAGCCTTTATAGAATATGTATATAATTTTGTACTTATTCAATTTCAAATATTAAATATTCTTTTGAGAAATATTTTCTTTTCTTTTATAATAGTAATAAAAAATAAACTTTAGTAAGTATTACTTTAATAAAAAATGGTTAGTATATATTTATATTTAAATTCCGGGAGCGTATTTTGGATGGCCGGTAGCCGAATACTTTATTCAGTCGACATTTCCTTTTGTAGTTGAAAATTGTTAAAATAACTATAAAATTTTCAATAGTATGACTAGTAGATTGTTTTAGCTTTGAAAGTTTAACACAATCTTCGAAGACAGGACTTAATTATTAAAAAAGTTGTATTTCGCCGTTGCTCCATTAAATTTATAGGCGTTTTGTATTTTACTGAAAAAGGTTTTATTTAAATAAATTATACATTTCATAGTAGTTAAAATATGGTAACAAATATATTTTGAGTTGTAAACCGTATAAAGTGTTTTATTTAAAAAAACATAATTTAATATTAATAAACCTTCGTTGTTCAATAGCTCACCGCTTGCTCTGTTAAGGGGCTTGGATTCGAATCCCGGAAACACGAGAATACATGTTTCGTCAGGATAGGGCACATAAATATAATCAACTAACCTATAATTAAACAAGGTTTTTAAAGAGAGACTTGTATATGTTTTCCCACGCACGAGGTAATCACTTATAACACACGATAATTTTAACAAAGTACACCAATGTCTTTCAAGTGTTTGCTAGCTGTACATAGAGCTAATTAGGTTGCATGCAAGCATTTAGCGATGCTACATTGAATTGCTTAACTGCATGTGAGTGTCGCTTCAACTATACGCTTTCATTGCTTCCATTAGAACTTGAAATAACTGCGAACCTCGAGCTTGATAATTATTATCGAAGTTGATTTTAATTTAAAGTTTACTCCCGATTGCTTTAGGTGTCCCACATCGCGAGTTACATCGTTTTATTTATATAAAACACTTTAACGTTTTAAAACGCGATATATATTAGTTAAAACATCCGAAACTTCGGGACGAAGTTATAAATCATTTTCAAATAAGTTTATCGTTCGCGTTGTATCGCGTTTTAAACCGTTAAAGTGTTTTATCGTTTTATATCGTGCAAAAGCTAGGTTCAGAAATATTATACGTATTGTCGAACAGGGCAATATATTGAGGACCATTTTAACTATAAATAGATGAGGATAAATATGCTCAAAGCGTTTTTTAAAGATTTATAATGCTATGCGAGGTTTATATATTAGTGAACGTCAAACAAGAATACCAAATTCTTATCTTCTTCATGTGTGTAAATATTGCGTTCAAAAGATCAAAAAAGAGCAATCGTTTTACACGACTGGTTCAAATATGGTTTATCACATAAAATAAAACCTATTTTAACGATTCAAAAATAAAATTTATAGTGCAAATTAATTCTGCAATATAATTACGTTTTAAGCCGTTAAAATTGTTTGATTAATGACTAATACTTACCTACAACTTGAAGATAGCCCTTCCTAGATCTCATTGGATCGGTATTAACTTGGCACATATACCATCCCCGGTCCACTTCATGTACATCCTTGATATGAAGATACCACGATCTATGATCATTGTAAGATAGGCTGATCCTTGGGTTCTGGGTGATTATGTTGTGATGGATACTTAGAATGGTTTGTGTATCCATACGGACCCAGGCCACCTATAAAAAGTAAAGGGTAAATGTACAAATACTTGTACCAAATAGACAAAAAAATTTTTCAATTTATATTATGTCATCATGTGCTAAATGTAAAAAATATTAAAATTTTCAAAGGAAACTTATAAACAAGCGCTGTCTTAGAGTACGCTTAAAATATGCTTTGTTTCAGGATCTAAGTCCGTTGAAAACAGCCCAATCATCATTCTCCTCATTTTCCCGAATAGGAAAATCTTATTTTTAATTTTGTCTTGTACATTGTTGGGTTGGGAACTGACTAAAGAATTGTACTTGTAGATACATAGGGTTTTGAACTTTCACGAGCTCGTGTGTTTGATGGTAATGGCTAATAATCAACAGGTCATGGCTTCGATCCCACAGGTTAATTTTTCGTTGTACTTCGTCTGGAACTCAGGATATTAAGTTTCGATATGAATATCGCGTTTCGGTTTCAAAGCCAAAATAGTGCGACGCGCATCTTGTGTAGATGTACTATGGCTGTATATAATTCACCTACTATCGAGTGAATCCTATGCTTGCCTGTTATCCTCAATCATAAAAAATAGTTATCAAAATTCGTTAATATTTTTCACATGTTTATTGCACATGATGGCACTGTATAATTTAAAAACAGTACATAAATTAAAAAAAAAAATTTGTATCGGTCTGGACTTGAACAGGCATCTTCAGCGTTCCGTGCTGTTGCTCTACCAATTGAGCTATCGAGTCAGCGGTAGAGCAACAGCACGGAACACTGACGATGCCCGCCCGAGTCAAACATTTTTTCAATTTATTTATTTAAATTATCAAAATTCTGTTTTGATAACATTCTTTTAAGGTCAGGAAAAACCTTGAAGAATGCATTTTTTTCGGTATTCTAATACAGTAATAGAAGTTCAATAGTACTTTTCGGGATCCACGAGTCTACTAAGGACATGCCTGTAAACAAAATCGAGAAACGGACATAGAATTGTGTCCCATATCGGTGTAAACAAAATCTCACCTTAAATCCCCTCAAATTATCAACAACACACGCGAGGAGCGCGTCTCTGCCGACTGTAACCGTAACATTTGGTATTGGCTCAGCAAATCTCGGGTACATCGACTCTGTGAACAAACATTCATTACAGTCCACGAGCGATGTAAACACGGAATATGTTTACTTAAATTTTGGTCCTATGTACGTAATGGCTAATCCTTGTACACTTAATGCTGCTTTGCTTCTGATTATAGCAATAAGACAATTATGTATATAAATATGTTACTTTAGCTGTGTGTGTGTTTAATATGCAATATATTTATATATACATTTCAGTTTGTCTACTATAATTTAAACAGAAAATTATTATAATGACTTTTAGCACAGATAATAATTTCCCACCAAAAGTACACATGGCACATATAATATAAATACAGACATACATACATATGATATCGATTCTACGTCTTACCTTAAGACAGGTCTGTATAATATATAACCTAATAATATATTAATGGACTCAAATACGATAATTTTGCTTTAAATTGTAAGATTAAAATCGAAAAATTTATTCGTTTACTTATTCTTAATTTGTCTTAACTACGGCCCGTCATTTTAGATGTACGATTTACACGCTCACTAAGGTACAATTGTTACCAATTGTACATTAGTTAACCAATATATTTCGCATTTAAAACCATTTAAGGTGTTTTATTTAAATGTGTCCTAGGCGTGTATTAATTTTATCAGTATTTGCTAACTGCTTAAAAATAAATATTTTAAACTGATTTGTTCTTTAAAAATCAAATCAAAGAGCGATAAAACTTGTCGTATATTAAAGTTACTAAATATATTATGTTGGTAGCTTTGTTCATACAGTCAGTTCAGAAATTTAATAAAAGCCGACTCCAACAATTCGTCAGTTACGCGTGTATTTCCACAGAAATATCGAAGTCCTTGTTATTCCGCTTTTAGTATTTCGAAATTCCTAAAGTCACGTTTACAGGCTTGAATAAGCAACGCAAGGTCGTTTAATTTTGCATGACTTCAACACGTTATAAATAGTGACAAACCAGCTGAGCTTTTCTTGCGATATAACCGGCCATCAACTTTGACGAGTAAAATTGAGTCGCGCTTATACGACGGCGACACACGCGAACACAGATTAGTAAACTTGGAAGGAACATACGAGTGACATCGATTTTGGCTTAATCATTACTTCGAAACTTAGATTTACGTGTTGTGAAAGGATTGGGACGTATTCCCTCGCTTTAAAGATAAATCTTCTTTTTCTGATGTTTTTCAACGAGTTTTTAAGGAAGTGGATTTTACAAAATAACTATTTACTTCAAATAATTCCCATTCTGAATAAACTACTTTTGTGTTGCTGAAAATCGACACAAATAGAATCAAGCCTATATAATTCCAAACAGTTTTAATCGATCGTTTTTATGAGCTAGTCTTAGATTTGAAACATTTATAGAATAATGGATATAGGTAATGTATTTAACTAATTTTGTTCAAGCATACTGAATTGAATTTTCTCTCCAGTTGTAAGAAAAAAAACCTATAACCTTCCGTACACCACGTGGTGCTTAATAAACTCCACCGTAATGAAAAGCGTATCTTTTTAAACGGCTGCATAAATGAGAATCTTTCTAAATTTCCCTCGCACTGGACCAAATCTACTAGTTTTTTTTAATTCGCAGCCGGGACGTTTATCATAGACGTAATGATACTGTCTATAGTTTACGCGAGTTACTACTCGCGATATATTAGTTAATTTTCAAATAAGCTAAACTAATATATCGCGTTTTAAACCGTTAAAGTGTTTTATTTAAATAGACGCAATGATGTAGTTCATATTTTTCCTTTCTTTGTATCTTTCTGAGATATTAGGTTGAGAAATATTCATAACACGTAAAAGCGATAGTGTGAAAGCGCCTTAACAAGATCGGTAGGTGCCATCGAGTCTGCCGTGGAGAGGGTGCGTGATTTATGTCCGTCCCACCACGACAAATAGCGGTTTGTCGTTGTATCACTCTTTTGCCGGTGGAATAATGTATCACGTAGAAAACTCTAATACCCACACCGGTGTAGCCGGTGTTTTTAATGCCTTTTTTCTGTTATCGAAAACCTTATATTTTTTACAGAAGACATACAAACTTACTTACGAGACATACGAGTTTACTTAAATACAGCAACCAATTTTGACTATATCGGCCTTGTTACAAAAAATACTTAAACCAGAACTGCCGAGTCTTGGTTTAACTTTTAAACCGTAATCTAAATGAATCTAAGTTAGAACCATAGTTACTCGAGTACAAACGTTAAACGATTTGTAATAAGGATTTCAAATAAATCAGGTTTGATGAGTTAGTCCTTAGTTTGTAATAAGAGTGCTAGTGTAAATAAACACATTAAAATATTAGTATAATTGAAAACTTTCATTTTAATACTATTTATGGCAGTTTCTAATAATTTCATACATATTGTAACTAGTCGAAATCGAACAAAGTATTTTAAAATAATTTGGCATATATCACACTAGATATATATATAGACAGATGTTAACCGGTCGGTACTTTTAATGATAATATAAATAAATAAAGTTAAAACGTTTTACGTGAAATGCAATTTATATGCGCAACAATTTGAAATGCTTACAAACGGAGCGAGTCGGGTTCTAACTAAATATTTTAATTAAATCGAATAACAAAATAAACTATTTCACTTTGCAAGCAGTTTCCGATGTTCGATAAAAAAAAAGCCGATTTCGTTTGTACGTTATTTATATTGAACAAAGGCCTAGCCTAGAAATGTACATATTATCCCAATTTGTAAGCGGTGTAACTTATTTTACGCAAAAAGAGATTGAAAAATTAAAAATATGTGTTGTCCACTTTTAATCAAATAACCCCTCGGTTAGAACAGCAGCACAGAACGCTGTGGATGCCGGTTCAAGGTCGCCCGTGTCAAGTTCTTTGTGTGATACTTTTCTTCTTTATTATCTGTGGAACGTAATAAAGGGTGCATCTATTTCACCTTCATATCTAATATGGTCTGTTACATGTTTCAAAATTGGCGCCTTTAATGTGTTCCACAGATTGACGTTTGGTTACCTGTCGTTACGTTGATATATATATTATCTGTTGATTCTTCTTAAGTGTGTGCAATACGTGTCAATGCTAATTATTGTAAATCCTCAAGTTAAATTAAATGTCAAATATCTATCTCAATCCTTGTTTAATTTATCATAGTCTTGATGTAAATAAATGTCTAAAATATAATAATGCCTTATGTATTTGACGTTAAGATTTCCATCAATACTGGAAACGTTTTTATTTCCAAATAGCACTCAATTCACACTATCACGCGAGTGATCTAAGCGCGGCAAATTGTCGCCGAGCAATCAGTCGTTTTTACACTGAAACGGTTGTTAAATTTCGAATGGTTAATCGCGCGATTGTATTTTCCTAAACGTAGAATTCTAGATATCGAACATTAGCGTTAAACGAGTTTTGTAATGTAAGATTTGTTTATTTACACGTCATTCCTCTATTCAGAATGATTACAAATTATGTATAAATGTATTATAAAATGCGTCTTCGCTCATAAAGACTGAACCATACTTAAAGCCTTAACATATAATGATTCTATCGACTCGTGACGGTGTTGAGAAAGTTTCTTTCCAACAAAAATATAAAATTATTGTGTATTTCTGTAAATGTTTATTATTGTATTCGTAGGAATAAAAAAATCTTTTTTTTTCTATTCTTATTAGGGAATTAATGGTTTTACGGTTAACTATACACTTTGTCCAGGAAGTACTGGTTGGAATATTCTTTTTTTTGTTAGATCATTTAACAAGAAAGACTTTAGGCTATAATACATAAGACTGCGACCAATAGGAGGAAAAAAATAGAGGGAAGGGTGAAAAAAACGAGGAAGATAATTCAATTTTTTACTGTTTCTTGTTTTTTCATTATTTTCAGATTATTTAGGAAATAATTATTCTTCTGTAAATAATCAAAATCTGCGATACTTGCGATCTTAACAATAAAATGACCGACACACCAACGATGACAAATACTTCACGTTCGTATTTGCGACTGTAACAAGTAATAATATCATATAATAGGTTTGTAAGGTGCTAATTAGAGGGAATTACAACCGGTAGATTCATTGTAGCGCCACTGAAATAATTAATGTTGAGAAATAACAGCTGTAAAAACCCCGTACGGTTATCGTTAGCGTGTGACAACTTCTGTAATTCGCAGTTTCATACTCATAAAAATATATTAAGCGAAGAGAATATTTTTACTCTAAGCTTTTTGACTTATGAGTCTAATATTTTACAACCGTTTTATTAACATGTTTTATGCACGCGGGACTTCAAAATTAAAATGTAACTTTGTAATTTTCAATATTTATGATCTATGTCAGACGTGGTATTTTAATCTATGTTAATATTATAAAGATGAAGAGTTTGTTTGTTTGTTCAATCACGCTAATCTCAGGAACTACTTCTCACTAACTACGGTTCAAATAAAAACAATGTTTTCTGTGGATCGGGCATTTATCAATGAAGGCTATATAAAACTACACTGTTACCAATAAGAGCAAAGAAACAGTGGTAAATGTACAAAAAACGTGCACACGTGTGTAACCGTTGTTTAAGAAACCAAATAAATGTATACGAAATCATTCTTCTTCTTTGAACATCTACGTAAAATGTCCGCGACATCATGCGTATATCTTTCAAGATTAACTCGCAAGAACTGTTTTTATAATTATGAAGTTTGGTTTGGATTGGAAAATCTCGTTTAAATTGTTTTATCGATATAATTATTTTTATTAACGATGTTTGTTACTTTGTCTATGTAGATTATATAATAATACTTACCGTCGGGTACTTCAATCGGTGCGACTGATACAACATTTTGTCCTGGAATTTCTCTACCTGTAATGAATTAAAATACATAATATGCATGAGTCGGTTATCTTAATAATCGTTAATGTATTGTTTATTACGAAGCCTTGAAGAATTACCACCAAATTCGAAAATGTTTGCTTACAATATTTGACCGTGACTTTAAATAAAACACTTTTAACGGTTTCCAACGCAAAACGTATGAGTTAACTTATTTACAATTATTGTCTATCTTGCTCTGGCTATTATATATAATTTTATATTAATAACTGCAGGATTACGACTCTACAACTACGATTATTAGATAGTATAAATCCAACAACACAAAAATCTAAAGGTAATAGATAATATAGACAGATAAATAAGATTAATTAAAACATTTTTTTATAAATACTGTCTATAGTTTACGCGAGTAGTACACATTTAAATAAAACACTTAAACGGTTTAAAACGCGATATATTAGTTACACTTATTTGAAAATGATTTTTAACTTCGGCCCGACGTTTCGCGTTACCGTTAAAGTATTAATTTAAACATTTTTTATATTCAATACCTCCTGCTAGGATTGTCCGCACTTAATTTTTCATAATTAGAATATATTAAAAAGATAATAGCAAGATACTTGTCACTGCACTATACATATATAGGTTTATATAGATAGCTGCAGGATTATGCCTCATAGATAAAGACACATAATTATCACATTAAAACCCCACCCACACAACAATATCCACTGAAGTTACGCAAGTATAATAATAACCTATGAAAGTTTAGTATGCTGTTAAAAGTTACAAGTTTTAATTGCCACTACGACTGTAGCTGGTAAATGCTTTATGGCGATATATAGGCCAACTGAATTACAACGTCAGTAATAGTCTATACTCTGCAGCTACAATGTATGCTTATTGCATTTTAACTTCTTTCCATAGTGATGCATTTATTATCTCTGGAAGCGAGAATTTTCTGAACTGAACTATAACCAATGATTGTTCTAAATGCAAGCAAAATTAAGGAGGTCTATTTGAATTCAAATAGTCTCTAAACGGTTTAAAGCGCGAACTATATTAACGCCGGATATGTTTACTTATTTAAAATTAACTTTAATTACGGCCCGACGTTTCGGATGCTTTGCAGCCTTGCTCACGAGAAATTGTAGATTGTAAGTGTCCCTTATGTCAAAGTCAAATCTGCTACGCTAGCGCCATCTGTGTCGTTTTAGTTGGTGTCTGGTGAAAGTTACTGGATCTTTATAGAACTTACTCAAGGTGTTTTTCGTTTTTTGGGTTTGTTTGCTCCAAATATCGGTTCGAAATTATTCATTTATTTTTTGGCTTTAACACATTAATATTTCCATAATTATTTAATCTATATTAATGTATGAAGCTGAAGTTTCAGTTTGGGAAGCAGGAAGTACTGGTTCAAGTTGGAATACCTTTTTTTGTGTTAGATAGAACATTTATCAGAAAGGGCTTTAAGGCTATAAGATATCGTGCTGTGACTAATAGGAGCGAAGAAACCGTCGGGCCGAAGTAAAATCTTAAAAGTCAAAAAAAAAAAACCGCTTTTAAAACCGTAAAAATGTTTTATTTAAATGTGTACTACTCGCGTAAACTATAGACAGTATTTAGATAGAACATTTATCGATAACGGCTTTAGGCTATAAGATATCGTGCTGTGAATAATAGGAGCAAAGAAACAGCGGGAATGTTGAAAAATCCGGGGAAATTATTCATCTCTCTTGGTTTCCGATGCGTACACTGCGAAAACGGCTCAAGATACGTACACAATATGTATAAAATAATGATTCTTTTTAAATAATCTAAAAAAATTCCGCGACACTTTATGGCTATCTCTTAAGATTAACTTGCAAGAACGATGGGACCCGAACGAGGGCCGCGAGCGACGGGAAGCGACCAATGTCGTGGGTAACAGCTTAAATTTAAAGATGAAGAATACGTTTACAAAGAACAAATCTGAATGCCCAAAATAACTATTCCACACAGACAAAGTCACTGACGTAGCTAGTAATAATATAAATTTAAACAAAAAACTAAATGATTATCATATGAGAGAGATTTAAGTTTAATTTTTTTTATTCTGTATATCCTTCTAGATTTTGTTGTACCATATTTCTTTCACTTTGTTCTTGCGCAGATAATTAGTATTTTATATAAGAGCAATGACATACCAATATAAATTCACACTTTCTAGCCTTTTGTATGTTGAAGTTTTAACTACAGGAATGAAAATTATTATTTACGCAGGAGTTTTAGTATAACATTGTTTCATAATATTGGCTATATTCAAGATTCAAGGACTTTACCCATAATATTTAAACAGAAGAAGACCTTTGACGCGTGTTTCCTGTTTAGAAACCCTGCAACCCTTGTTGGTTGCGGTAAACAGGGTTGGGTAACTGTCCACAACACTGAATACTTCAAAAAATCTGAATTTAATATTCTTACCGCAAAATTTTGTATAGGTTTCCAGACTTCAAAACTTACAAAGTTGATATTTTTAAACTTTTTAGAATCAAAAGCTGACTATCAAATTAGGATAAGTAAAAGTAACAGTTATGCTCGAATTGTAAATTAATTTAACCAATACATTGCGCGTTTTAAGCCGTTAAAATGTTTTATCTAAATGCGTACTACTTAAACTATAGACAGTACTTCTTTTCACTTGACTCGTTGTCAAACATTAATTAAATTAATATTAAATACTACATAAAGTTAATTATTAAAATCTGAGAAACTTATCTCAATTTTTTTTAATACTCCTAGGAATAAGATGTATTAAAAATGTGTTTGAAAATTTCAATATTTTTCACATGTTGCTCGTGGTTGTAGTAGCCAAAAAAAGAACGCTGTGAATGCCGGTTCAAATCCTGTCCGTGTGGTATTCTTTTTCAATATACAATCTATTTTATTTGTATATTAAATTTTCTGTTTCAAGACTTTAAGTGTTTCAAAGAGCTAGTTTTGTATATTAAGGTATTGAAATGCCAGTTTGTCCATTGATTTACACGGGCCGACATCCCCTGGCGTTTCCTAATTGGCCGTCAATTGAATCTCGACAGGACGGACGTACGTTCAGCTGTTGGTCAGTTCGCTAACTTCTGACACGAAAAAGTTATGATACCTGACTGCTGGCTGGTTTAAAAATAATTCCTATGAAAGCCGATTGCCCACGCACTTCGCTCACGCTACAGACACATTTTTATATCCTCTCTTGATTGTTTTTTATTTACTCATAGATACGTGATGAAAAGTTTTTACCTTTCCCGACAAAAATATTTATAATTTTCCCTTGAAATACGAATCCTCGAACTGCCTGGCTAATTATAATGCTACTTAATATATCGGAATTGATTTTTACGAAGTAATCTGATGTCGATTACAATATTGATTGTATTATTGTAATCGACATCCGTTTACTTAAAAAAATCTGAAAATAAATTGAAATATATAACCGTTAAAAGTGTTTTATTTAATTACGATCTGGAAGTAGCACAAACATGCAGCTTCGCTTGAATGGCAATGCTTGATACTCACTTATTTGCATAGTTTAAAAATTTGATCAAGTAAATTACTTTCATTATTAAGTAAAACTTTAAGAACAATCTTAGAATTCTAGAAGCTCATTATAGTTCTAAAATTACTGTTATTATCAATGATTATTGTAATCTTCAAGGTTGCCTGGAAGAAATCGTTTTTTAGCGATAAGGCCGCTTCTCGCTACATTTTTTGTTGTAAATTCTCTAAATGAAATCTTATATTTGTAATATATAATATTGTGCTAATAGTAAAGTATTTTTTATTTTGTTTTATTTGTAGCATTGATTGCGTCTGTCATCTCTCCGTCATTAAATAAGATCGCTTTTTGCTAAGTACACCATTATGTGTATCGTTGACAGGCCCTCTTCGCGAGTCGGACAGGATTGTTCCATTATCGACGAACAGATGAATAATTGACACACACAAGTGTGTTCCACGTTGCACACTAACGATCGAATTTTTAGTTGCGCTGAGAGATTTAGTGGACTTTTATGGAAATGTGTCACACATTGAACTCGCTTCGGCACGAGCGCTATTGAATGTTCTTAAAATGATTTAAATACTATTTTTCATTACATGTTAAGTCTGTTTTTGCTTGTTTTAGACGTAAATAAATTAATGATGTAAAGGTATTGTAGTCACCTAACATGAACATGTAGTATTTTTTACCAATGGTATTTTGAATTCTACAAAATATTACCCTAAAAAGTTTTTCCTAAAACAACGCTTGACAGATATGTATGTTATATTTTTTATTCTATGTTCACCAGTAGTTCTCAAGAATAAATCGGGTCCTCGTCCCCTCTTTTAGCATAGCTTGAACCAAAATCAACAAGAACTTTAAAAAATCCCTTTCTTCTACGCTTATATCTTTTCAAAAATAAGGTTAGAGGGCCCCTTAGTTCCGGGGCCCTGGTGCACTGCACCACCTGACCCTGCCACTGTTTCAAATACCGAGCGCAACCAGTCTTTCTTTCAAATTTTTGTCTATAATAGTTCTTTTGGAAACAATTCTTGATAGTTCGTATATATCTTTCATATGTTATATATATGCGAGTTAAAATTAATCAAATATTTGGATAATGTCTGTTCTTATGTGAGTAAATATAATTACTTATTACATCTTACGAAAGCAGAGACTTACTTGGGATAGTAATAAAAAGTGTAAAAGTTATATTAACACTTTGATACTGCGAGAGCTTTAAGTACCCAACTACATCGTTGGCACCCCAAGTAAACACATACCCACTCAGCTACAAGTGTATTGATCTCCTTATCCGAATTTATATCCTTTAAATAATACTGTAGAATGTAATCAGATAAAAATATTTTTCATTTATTTATTGTATTATTGAAAATGCATACTTTTTTAAAAGTAACTAACGACAATTATCTTTTATTTAATTGACATAATGCTTTTGGTATTTCGTATTAGTTTTAATATATTTTTGATTATTTTTATTGAGCCTGTGACGTCTGTCCTAAAGCTATGGTTAAGTATGAACGCGTAGTTAACACTACGGATAAGGGCTTTATTAAAGCATATTAGATAAACTACTACAATATATAAACTAAAAGGATACATTTTTGTAAAAGGCATCACATACACTACAGATATGAATATCTAAATTATGCGAAACTTCGGGTTCGAACTGGCGACGATATTTTATAAACGCCTTATCGTTTCTCGTTGTTGCGGAATATTTACAAGGCTCTTTGAGCGGCTTAGGACGAATAACAACGTATAAAACTGAATATGGCGGCATAAGACCTCTCTAATATAATAAATAATATTTCTATTTTACAAATAAGATTGTGAATCAGTGATGTTTACAAATATAAAAATACCTGCTAATCTGTTTACTAAGTGAAGGATTCTTTTTAGCGTAAGAGACGTATTTATTTATATTATGAATGGAAAAATAGTAAATGTTCTTTTCTCAAACATGCTTAAAATTTGAGTATTATATTGTCCGCCTTCTCCGAGTTAATTCGAACTTGCTTTATTAGTCGAACCGTGTCCTGTAAAAGTTGTATGAAAAAATTTAAAAAAATACTATTGTGTTTAGCGGCCAAATAAATTATTTTGTAAAACCATATTTGTCGTGTAATTTAAAATTGGAACTCCGCAACATGAAAACCAAAGAGGTAACTTACCAAAGATTTAATTTAAATTACAAACTGGCTAGGACATACAAAAGCTGCTTAGTAAAAAAATACTTTGGCGCGTTAAAAAACTATCGTTATTAGTTGTTCGTCAACTTCGTCATTGGTTTTAGATTTCTGAATACTTAGTTTCAATTTCCGCGCATTATTAAAATAAAAAATACTATACAAGCCTTGGCCTCGACTAGGCATTGTTGGACTTACATTCAAATGTTCGTCCATCAAAGCCTATCGCTGCAGTAATGTAGTATTAAAAACTATTTTAAATTTAACAAGATTTAATCGCTCAGGTAAGTACTATATATAACCGTATGTATTAATATCAAAATTCTAGCTTACACAAATGAGCTATAAAACTTATTATTTCTTGGCTGGTGAAATATAATTGAAAAATCGAAAATTCATTTTAAAAAAAATTAAGACTCGGGCAGTTCTTGAACCGGCATCGTCAGCCTTCCATCCTATTGCTCTAACCAATTGAGCTACCGAGTCCTACACGTCATGGTCGATTTTCTTAACCTATTAATACTTTCACCTCTGCCGCTATGTAAAATCAACCTTAACAGCTAGGTATTAAGGTTCAATGGCTTATGCTTTGTAGCTTAGAAAATCATTGAAGATGAAATTACAAAGTATAAAAGTTCGAAAACTTTGACATCAAATATAGTTTCACCGAATTTTTGAAAAACCGCTTCAATTCTTGGAATCGTAGCCATGCCAATTTCGTAGACCTGCTACGCGTTTCAGTCTACAAGCGTAGCAGGCACGGTGACCTAAATTCGAAGGTCGCCAAAAGAAAAACAACGGCTGGAATTACGGATGCAATAGCCTCATCTTTAATTCTAACATCGATTGAACCATAACTACAAAGAAGGCAACGATGATAGCGACTGTTATAGAATTAATTATTCACGCCATCCTTGAAACAAACAGGCGCTTCTCGTTGTGAATTGTTTTCATTTAAAGACTTAATAGTAATCAAACAACTGTCATATAGAAATATTATAGTAGTTTTGTTAGCACGAAGCATCGATTGTACCTTTTAACGTTGAAATTGAAGGCAGTAAGTTTATAAGGAATGCTCAAATTACTAATTTTATTCAATTATTATGGATAGGCCGTACTTTGCTAATAATAATTGCTTTTTTTAAAATACTGTACAACCATGTTAAACGACAACTCTATACTTGCTTGCTTATTGTAGTAATTCTTTATATTATATGGCCACTTGTCATCAGTGTTCCAACACAAGTGTGTTCGTAACATTATGCTGAGTGGCTCCTGTTAGGCTGTTTTAGGAGTTGCCATAGTTCATTTTATATAATCTGTATAATTATCTGTATATTATACATGTTATTAAGTTAATCTTAGTTCATATTTAATATGTTTGTCAGCAACTTTTCAATAAATGATTTTTTTTTATTATATAATAACGTATATTGTTAAAGAAACAAGGTTCTATTGAAGGACTTTTCATTGTCAGATACAGTTTAAAAATCTGTTCTAAACATCCTTATTGACTTAATATAGAACTCTATAATTCTTAGTAACTTAAAATGCATGCATACATTGCGTGAAAGATGCATATATCAATAGATTAAAAAAAATCTACGATGACGTGTATGTAGTGATCAGTAGCTCAATTGGTTAGAGCAACAGCAAGGAACGCTGTGGATATCGGTTCAACTTCCGCCCGAGTCGTTTCAATTTATAATCGAGTTTAATGTATACTTGAAATGAGATTAACACAAGTAAAAAAAATCTTCTTCAGAAATTTACATAGCTAAAATGGTCTTTTATCATATCATATTTATGTTGTTTGATATATGATGTTTTCTTATAACTTTTAGACGGAATGTATTTTTATGGCTTATCCATAACTGTCTCCAGCGGAGACGCAAACGGATATCCGCAGATGACTCAACCAGACGACCCCTGTCCGTTTTGTTTGCAATTCTTCCCCCTGTTAAGTGAATTATGTTAAAGAAATACGAGAGCTTCTTATCTCCAACCCTCTGAATAAATTTCGCTTTTGAAGAATCACGGTGCGGTTAAGTGTGTTCCTCATCTCTGTTATGATTTAATTTAAATTTATTCTTATCATTTCAGTTCTGCCCTAATTAAATAAGTCAGCTTACAATTTCATAATAGAACAATTTGCCTGTCACGAAACACCTTGAAATGTTTATCGAATTTCACTTCACAACAATCCGGTTTGCGTAGGAACGCTAAAGTATTCAATTTGTTCTTTGATAAAAGCAGAGAAACAAGAACAATAATGTTCTTAAAATAACTTTGACGAATTCGTAAACTACAATTTAATACTATATTATTTTCTTTTTACATTATATTTTAAACCTCATTCGTTTAGTAATATAAATATAGATGTAACAATTGATACTTATAGCAATACGTAAGAAACACTATACAAGCTAAGTTAATATAGGTATGAAAAGTTCGTTTCTGTGTCTTTAAAACATATAGAGATTTAAAACATTCTAGGCTCTTATAATATCTTTAAGCTCTTATATAATACTACAAATTAATCCCATAAATAACACGTACAAGTTGGCAAACTCAATAAAAATGTTAATGGCAATCGCTACTCACCTGTCGTACTGCAGCAAGCTGTTAACGCTATCCATAAAACACAGTATGCATTTAAAAGTAGAGTCATTTTTCGTCATATAAAGGGTGATTAATTTGTTGTCAAAGTTCACCTATGTTGTACGCGCGCGCGTGAAAAGTCCGCTGCAACGACAAGCGAGCGTGCCATCGCTAGGCTGTCTTCGGATGTACTGGCGCGGGGTGCTCCTACAACCCCCGGCCAGATAAACAAGGGCGAGAAAACTGGGTACACGCAGACAAACCGTCTCGCTAGCCTTTATAGCCAACGAACGATGGCATAATAAAATAAGACAAAAGACGAATGAACGAGGAACGCTCTACCGCGTTAGACAGCTCGCTGTCAAATATGCATAATCCGAATATTAAGCGATGATATATTCGCTTCAATGGACCTGTATTTGAGGAAAACTCGCTATTCTAGCATTTGTACTATTCACATAACGCGAAGGCATTATTTTGGGCATATATGAATTATTAAATACATCGTAAATATTTCTACCCGCTGTTGTAATTAAGAAACGAATTAGAGACAACGGTCAATAATATCTCCCATTATTCAATAGAAAATACAGTTTTATATTTTTATAAAGTTTTTACTTTATAAAAATATAAAACTTTAAAACATCGGTGGTAAAGTTCGTGACCGCGGAAAGTACAAAACCTTCTACATGCCAGTTTAGTAATTAAAACAACTTAACTATCATATTGTGTGTATAGCATTTCTAAAATTTTTTTATTCCAAGCTAGAATCATTAGAATATTTTTTTGTTTATAATCCTATAGGGATCTATTGTATATAAATTTAAAATAACTTAAATCTATTATCACTTAGGTATTAACAACCTATACTCTATAAAATTTATCCTTATTTGACTAAATGAATATTTAAATAAAACACTTTCACGGTTTAAAACGCGATATATTAGTTAAACTTATTTGAAAATGATTTTTGACAACGGCTGCTGCAAAGCATCCGAAACGTCGGGCCGTTTTAAACCGTGAAAGTGTTTTATTTAAATGTGTACTGCTCGCGTAAACTATAGACAGTATTTAAATGAATATTTTAAAATTCCTCAGTACATGTAACAAAGCTATATAACATTTAAATATCGGTCATATCGTATTTTACGAAGCCAGTATAAACTGTTCGAAATTCAATTGAGGGTAATAAATTTCGAAAGGCGTTATCTTTCAAACGGTTATTCCTGATAGATTTTGTCTAGGGTTAATTGGCTACATTTTAGTATTCATATCGCTTAAATGTACAATAGATATACCGTTAAAATAGATACGTTCATTTTTTAATGCATATAAAAAGGTTCTGTTGTAACGCAGATTTAACCACTGTATAACTATGTAGTTATTTCTTTAGTAAAACAATGTTCATTAGTCACATATACACAATAATACCAACTTTTTTTAAAGAAACAAACTTAAAAAACAAGAAATTTAATAAAACGTTTTAACGTTTTATAGGGTGAAATGTATTAGTTACCTTATATACAATTTATTTTATGGCCCGACAATTCGAGTGCTTCGCACCTAGCTTGTCAAGGGCCTTTTCATGTCACTCGTGTAAATAACAAACAATACTTAATTTACAATAATCAATAAATGGTCGAAAAGAATGTATTTAACATAACACGGTGCTAATTTGGTGGTTTAGAATTGATATGAGAGAAAACATCGATTCCTTGCGTAGTTTGTTAACGTCTTAGAGAGAGAGAAGACGTCTTTTATGTATAGTACCACAGATGAAAAAGCCGTGAAATTTAATCGCGTTCTGTTTCAGTCTGTGGATTTTGGAATATCCTATGAATATAAATAGACAGCGCGTTTGTATATAATAACATCCAATTTAATTTGTTAAGATTGTATATTTAAATAAAACAATTTAACGGTTTAAAATGACATGTATATTGATTAAACTTATTTGACAATGATTTTAACTACGGTCCGACGTTTTGTATGCTTTGTAACAGCCGTGGTCACGGGGAGACTAAAGATGGGGGGGTGTCTCTGATGTCAAAGTAAAAACAGCTATGCTAGCCATCTGTACCGCCGTAGTTCGTAAAGTGTAAAGTGAAATCCCGTTTCCCCTCGTGGGGGTGGGGCGAACACATTTCTGTTCCTTTCAATTATCCATTCTTTTTAAAGTAGCAAGTAGTTGATCAGCTTCTGTGCCCTACCCGACCGGAACAACTTCTTTTTTTTTCCCCTGAGATTCCAACCGGACCTCTCGCGGATAACGCAATGCTAGGCAACATTTAAATTTGGCTGAGAAGTCTGTTAGTGGTATTAGATTAAATTTGAGTACAATATTAAATAATTAGCATATAACTATGCTAGGACATTTCAGTTACCATCAAGCACTATACTTCTGTGTGTCTTCCTCTATCATTCAAAAAGCGTAAAATAGGTAAAAATTTTGAAGAAAGCACAGAAGGATGTATTTTTAAAACTCTTATCTTAAAAGTATTGGATATCCCTCGGTATGGCCAAGCAGACATACTATAAACGGTAACGAGTATCTGAGTCTTCAGTGTGCAGTGTTATTGCTGTATCATGCACAAACCCTGTGTCCGACACTCACATACAATTTAATGTACTATCATAATAGAAGATGCAACGACTTAGCTAAATCGGTATACGATTGTCAGAGAAATTATCTTTCTTACTTTGAAAACTTTAACTTTGCAATTTCATCTTCAATGATTGAAAACTTTATTAATTTTTACATCTTATTGCCCATAAAAGCACTAAATAATTTAAAAATCGAAAATAAATAGAAAAAAATTTTCGACTCGGGCAGGTCTTGAACCGGCATCGTCAGCGTTGTGTGCTGTTGCTTTACCAATTGAGCTACCGAGTCCTACACCTCATCGTCGAATTTTTTCAACTTATCGATACATTGCGCAAATGACCTTAACCATAGGGCAGGAGGATAAACATAAGGAGTCAGAACGCTTACGGTTAAACTGTACGTTTTATTTTTATTTTAGTGCCCTGATAGCCCAAATTGACAATTGCCAAACTCGACCAAACTTTACACCAATGAGCCACGGGGGCGAAACTTATTTTTTCCTTAACTTTTATTATTATTCGAATACATATAAACCATTATAGCCATATGGCGTTTACTATAGCTAGTATAATGAATAAATAATTGGAAACTAGTCAAACTTTTGTTAGTAACAGCTTGGATGCAACTACGCAAGCCGGTATGCATTCTAAACATAGTTTATATTTATAGATATAACAAAGGGATTATTATTTAACTAGTAACGGGATGATTCCCTGATGGGTAGGTACTATTTTAGTATGGTGTTATTATAAGGATAAGTGGTTCCGTTCATAATAGAGAAACCACAGTGTTTATAAATAAACAATTTAAAGTTGATGTTCTAGACTACTATTTGTAATAAAGTTATTACAAGTATTCATGTAAAATTATTTCTTTGGAATTAAAAATATATTCACTTTATGTAATACCATAAGAAAGAATTATGTTTCTATTATTAACATAATGCTTGTTAATCTGTAAGAAAAAATAGTTTTTCTATGACTTCTTAATATAGAAAAATACAATGTTTAACTGTCTGTTTAAGTAATATACACAATAGATACGAACGCTAATGATCAAATGAACTTTTACAGTGAAGTTAATTCATTTATATTTGAAATTTGAAATTCAGTTTCATTATTTCTATATGAAAAATCTCATAGCCTTGATATCAACTATTTATACATTTCGTGTGAATTTTCCCTTATATTGAGCATGTTTTTCATTTTATTGGCAGGGAAGTAGATTCGATTAGTGTCAGCAGGACGAAATTATATATTTTTGGGGTGTCTGAACTTCTCGAGCAATACTTGGCATCGCTTAGTACTGATGTATTTTATCACAATATTAGCTCGTTAGTAAACCAATTGGTGTGATGTCTTTTGAAGAGTTGTTCTTTGGCGTCTCCAAGGCCCCGGCTGCGCCAATTGGAACGGATTGCGTCACACGCCATGAAAATTTATGGAGCGCTCAGTTTTTTCTGGATGATGTGTGATTTGATCAAGTAATGGTCGGAGGCAGCCGGCGGGTCGCCATTTAGTCGCGTCGCGCTTCAGTTTATCGACCTCGACGTAGGATAATGACGTTTCTTACGGCAAATCGTTGTCGCTCCGACGTTGTTGCAGTAAAGGATGCGCTCAAAGTAATGGCTCGTTCTGTTCCTAGAGATTTTTATGGCTTCCTTAACCGGTTTGGCTTTTTATAATGATGCGAGGGTTCCTTATTTTATAAGCATGGGGTATCCCGCTGGGAAACTGAAAGTAAGTATTTGCAATTTTGTGCAACATCTACACATATTTTTTTATTATTTGTAAAGATTAAACATATGATAACAAATATGGTATTACATACTGTAATATATTTTTATCCCTTTTGTGTATTCTCTTATAATTATTATAGACACTGAAGGGATGTGATTTTAGGTTAAAAGTGTTTAAATAAGAAAAAATTTATGAAAAAAAAAAAAAAAAAGATGTTTACACTGTCTTTACTAGAAAATTATGAAATTTATACAGACTGTATTGGTTTTATATTGACAGAGAAGAGTTTTAAGAGAGATATATAAAAAATATTGCTAACTTGCATCTACTTCTTCATTTGTTTATTTGAAATTAGTTTGTATTTATTTAGCAATAAGGTTTAATATCGTACCTTTTTTTTACCTAGCGATTCCATCGTTAAATCGATCGATGATAAGGAATAATTTAAATATTTCGCCCGCATTTCACCATTCCAACGTTATCGGAAATGCTCCTTTGATAGAATGATTCAACCGTACGCCGTATTTGGCTGCGATATGATATTTTTACAGTATTTTGCCTGTAAGGCGTTACGTTACTTAATATAAGAAGAATAGAGTGATGATTCACACTTAAATTAGTTTTGATCTCAATCTTCGTTCTGTTACACGTTATACTTACTTACTAAGTAACTTTATTTACTGTTACCAACTTTTTGATAGCGGAGACGATTAAGCACTTAAGACCCACCATGTTCTTTTGTGTGCGTTGGTGGACTTAAAGTCTACGGCCACTAAATTAGAAATAGTAGCTGATTTAACGTGCTTTTCGAGGCACGAACTATATCACTTTTCAAATCCGCGAAAATAAGGTTCGTCTGACACAGGATTCAAACCCCATAGTCATCTGCACTGAGTGTGCTAACCACTGGACTAACAGCATGAATTCAGGTAAGTTTAATAATATTTTAATGTGCCGACTACGAAGTTACCGCGGCGGCGACATCGCAAAGTTCCGTATGAAAGTTGGTAAATCAGCAAGAAAATGCAGATTGAAGGAAAGCTATTTTCAACAAAACGGTCCACATCGGCTCAGAAATTGGTTCTTCTTCCCGCTCCACTGGCCGATGAAACTTGCTACGCTCAAACCTATTTTTATTATTTCGCCGTACAACTTGTTTTGTGATAGGTATTTCGTTTTAATCTCCGGAGCAATTCTGTTATGCGATATTGTGATATTCTCCTGATATTTCAATAAACATTGTATCCGTTGCTTTATTTATTTTGTTTTTATATTCGCGTTAGGTTTTTCATTTGTAATACTGTCTAACTTTAGCTCAATTGCTAAATACTGAAATACATAAGCTGTAACTGATGCGCGGATGTACAAGTCACGGCTTTTAATAACGAATTTATTTATTATTAATTAGGTACACATTTTACAATTATAATTGGTTACAGATACTGATCGGGTCTATTTAAATACACTAACACATAATCGGTTTGTACCTTAGCAGTATCTGCATTTTAATAAGTAAATAAATAGAGAATTTTCTGTGTTTTTACTACATTTCCCTCTGCTTATTCGCTCGTGTTGATTGTGCAGGCTAATATTTTTATGTGTTGCCTCGCAAAAAAGTAATTGCAGAAAGTTTTTTAACCAATAATTTTTGAGATTAGCGCGTTCAAACTGACTCTAAAGCTTTATAATATAAATATTGATAAATACTATACTCGTTAAGAGTCGAAACTACGACTCCCTTTAGCCAGACATTACCCACGAAACCGTCAAAGTGACAACGTAACAGTTTCATAACGCAAAAAAGATAATGTTTACCTCCTTTATTATTCAAGTCCGCAGTATTATGCGAGAGTACGGCGGATGGATCAGAAACATAAATCCGACGTCTAAACATGTTGACGATGAAAAGTCTTATGAAAAACATACCTGCTTTTTACAGTATTCACAGAGCACGTTAGAGGTTTTATACGTTTTACGTTTCGAGTTGACATTGTAGATTTTTATTTATTCGTATGTCGCACAGAGTATAATAATATTATCGGAGAGCATAGTACGCCGGCTGACCACTATAAATACCGGAATGGAAACCAAACTGCTTCCGTTTGGAGTATGTTTGTGATATTTATACATTGAATTTAATAAATGTCCAATAGAGGCATAATGTTTAATTTACGATTACATTTTGTCGCATTTGATTTATATCTTTATTATGTTTATACATAACATTCTATTTAGAATTAGATAGTGAAGATTTTAAAGTATTGTAATTAAAATAAAACGTTTTGGACGATTGAAAACCAAGTCAAGCATCTAAAACGTGGGTCCTTAGTATGCATTAAAATATATAAGTAATATTATGCGTCAGGTTTAAAACTGTTTAAAGTTACTTGCTTGTTATCTTGAAACACATAATAGTGACTCGACTATCATGAAGACCGGGTTATGGTAGGTTCATTAAAAGAAAAATAAATTAATTTTTAGTAATCCTAAGCCTTTATGACAAGCTGGAGTTACTATAGTAATGGCCTTCAAACAAATAAAACAGTACAACAAATAACTATTTTGATGGACTCTTTGGTGTAATTGTAGCTATGTAATCATCGGGTCGTGGATTCTTTCACATTTTCTAATCAATTTATATTTTTTCTGAAACGTCTGGACGCCTGGATAATAAATAAGTGGTAAGAATTAAATAATTCCTTCTGTGTCACAAACCACCGTCCACAGATGAAAAAGCCGTCAAGTTTAATCGTGTTACAGTTTCTGTATGTATTTAGATGCTATATTACATAACATTAAGGTGCCAGCCACACACTTGTCTGCCTTCTTCTATTATTTGAAAAAACCTATATTAAATACTATCTATAGAATTATTGAAAATGATTTCTAACTTCGGCCTGACGTTTCGGGTGCTTTGCAGCAGCCGTGGTCACGGGGAGACGATGCAAAGCATCCGAAACGTCCGCCGAAGTTAAAAATCATTTTCAATGAGTTTAACTAATATATCGCGTTTTAAACCGTTAAAGCGTTTTATTTTAAAAAATATTTTTTAATTTAAAGCTAATCTGAGAAGCTGAAGTTACAAAAATTGCATCATGGACGTAAATGGAACAGTAACCAATAACAACCTAACAATGAAATAACTAAAACATTTCGTAAGCCATCCCGGTCTACACGGAAGCCAACTCTTCCGTAATCTAATTGATAAAAGTCAAAAGTTGAAACCCGCAATTTCCTTCCGCTACCTGCGTCATAATAACAATGAAGGGCCCGCAGAATTCTTTATTGCCACCTCTTGGTTTCGCCACCTTCCCATACGTATTTATCAGCCCTCACCTTGATCATGAACGTCTCACTTGCGGCCTTTTGTGGAATAGTTTCTCGTGTGAGCTATTCCGTACATTCGAAAAATGCACCCCTCCGCAATACCTCTATTCCTCAGATCTCCGATACATCGTTTTAATAGCCTTTGCCGATGTTCTTTGAAGAAAAGAGAAAATAAGATTTCCTCGGTAATGGTATGCGCAAAGCGTTCCAAGTAAATCCTTTATTACTCACTGTAAATTATACTTGAACGTAAGTCTTCGACTGATCCTGCCTTTGTACAGTTCGGTTAAAATAATTATTTATTTCAATGTCATTTTATATTGACGCAAATGGGATTTCTGTGTGAAAAGAAAGATTAGAATTTTGTTTTGGGAGTCATTCTTTTCGTTCGAGTGTTGGATCTTTTGATAAGTTAATAAAAGAAAATGACAAACAAACATGGAGTTTAATTGATGGTAGGTGAAGGAACCTAGCAATTAAAAATCTAAAAAAATACGCGATATATTAGGAGACAGTCTCCCCGTGACCACGGCTGCTGCAAAGCATCCGAAACGTCGGGCCGAAGTTAAAAATCATTTTCAAATAAGTTTAACTAATATATCGCGTTTTAAACCGTTAAAGTGTTTTATTTAAATCTAGATTTCCATACGAAGTCTAATATGATTAAAATTATTAATTGATTAGAAAAATGTTTGCCCCGCAGGAGGTCGAACCCACGACTCGTAGATTATTAGGTATACATTGCTACCATTACACCAACGAGCTCGTTATACTCTCTGCGATTTATAAAATCACTTTGTAAACATAAACATGTCCCTTTGTGAACTAAAAGCTACGTACATGTTAGACAATGATCAATATTTGATAACTTTAATATTTTGCACATGTTCTGTGCCCATAATAGCACTATATAAATTAAAAATGGATTATAAATTTAAAAAATTACGACCCGGACAGGACTAGAACCGGCGACCACAGCGGTCCGCACTGTTGTTCTAACCAATCGAGCTACCGAGTCGTACATGACATCGTCGAATTTTTTCAATTTATTAATACATGTAGTCAGTCTCTCTCAGTTTTGAAATAATCAATATTTCAAAACGCAACTCAAGAGCCGAGTGTATCGCGCGCACTTTACCAGGCTTTTATCAAATTTGAAAAGCACAGCCCGTTTCATCTAGCGTGTACTGAGCAGTGTTCTGAATTCATGAATGTTTTATTGCGGAGGCGACGCGGAGTTAGCGAGAAAAATGCGACGCCATTCATCCGCCCTCGTCACGGACACTAACTGCGTATTCTGTTGTTTGGATTTGGTGCGAAAAATGCGAGTTCTCCGTCTGTAATGCAATCTTTTAAGCCATTGATTTATTGCACTTTCTCTCACTCAAGCGTTTTTGTTCGGCGAGGCTACGGGATATTATCCACTTTTGTTCTTAGCTTTGTTTACTTTGTTCAAGTACCTTATTGATTGTTTAAAAACGTTTATAACACTTGCTATTTATTATTTTTCCCGGCATTTGTATCTAGGACCACTCGCATTTTATACCAGATTAACCATTGAGCTACCGAGGTGAACTATAGTGGTTTTCCTTATTTCTCATCCAAAATAATATATTATCTAGAAATCTGAGATGGCTAGACATGATGGCACCAGTTGCTTACAGAAATTTTACCGACTTGGCACTAAGCTACGCTGACCCATATGTGATGGGATGTTAGCAAAAACAAAAAGTAGTCTTAAAAGAGACGAGAAAAATTGCGAATTGATGAAACAGCTATATGTATAAGAAACAATTATAATTGTTTCACAATAATATCTATGTATCTTATCATTATAATAAATAATTTATAAAAAAAAATATGCCCTTACGGGCCCTGTAATGTGTCTGATTCAGTGACCGCGTTTATTTACAGGTTACTAGTTGATTGGACGACCGGAAAAATAATGATTTTGTGCTTATTAAAAATGCACAAAATGCACATGCGGGCGGGTTTTGACCTTATGTTTAAACTCGTTAAGTTAATATAATGTATTTTAACTAACAAAATGATAACGTAATATTCTTCTCCAATCATTGACGTGTTGAGAGATCTTACCGAGGGGTAAACCAGATTCCGGTTTATAAAGAAACTTCGTAAGTTAGTTAAGAAATAGAATTACCTCCTTCACAGCCTTTATAAAATGTGGACGGGTCAAGTTTCCTTTAGATCTTGAACTTATCCAATTACAATCTAATCTGAAGTTTCATAAAGTAAATCATATTTTTTAGTCTTTTTTGCTTTTGAGTTGTATTAACACATGATTGTATTTTTATTTTCTAGTTGAGACTATTAAGATGGCTCATAAGGGCGCTTTGTTTACAAATAAATGATAATTCCTAAAACAGTGGTAATTGAATTAAGTTGTGTTAATATTAATTTTTACCGACTAGCGAAGTATTATAGGTAAAGGTATATTATATAAAATATTATTGTGAAATGAATAATTTTGTTTTTGGTAATACTAAAAGGAAAAACACAATATATATCTACACTCATAAAATGAAGCTATAAACTCTTTAGCTTCATTTTATGTATATATTCTTTGTTTGTTTGAACGAACTTAGGTCAGTAATTACTGGTTCAAATTGAAAAATATTTTTTCTGGTTGGATGTATCGAGCGAAGAGCGAAGAGGGGAAAATTTAAAAGAAATTCATTTTGAAACCAAGAAAATCTATACCTATGACATAATGAGTTTTTTATATTATCTAAAAAAATACCAGTATATGTCTTTATTTTAAGATTTATTTGCAAGAACGAAGGGACGTGGACAAAGTTACGGGCATAGCATTGAATTCAAAATCTACAGTACAGTACTAGAAGTACATACTGCACAAAAACACGAGATCATATTCTTCGTCATATTTTCTTTTCGATTTTGCTGCTAAAGCTCCCTCGGCTATAGTTAACTAGAATATTAATACATTATTAAGGAAAATCTCATCTTTTGAGAACGTAATTTAATCTTTTAGTCTTTGAAAGAATATTAAATTTGCGATAGGGCCTTCTTTTCCTGGATGCAATTATGTCGGCGTTTATTTGATAAAGATTTCTAATATTGTAATTTAAACGATAACTTCTTATATGTGCATTATGTGTCTGAATATGTATGGACATGGTCTTTGTAGCAGGAAATAATATGACAAATAAGTACAAAACTGTTGCTTAAATACTAACAATAAATGTTACTTAAATATTCTCTGTAATTTACGCGAGTAGTTACACATGTAAATAAAACACTTTTAACGGTTTAAAACGTGAAATGTGTACTAAGTTGTTACAAATAACTTTATCTTATACGTTTCGCTTTAAAAACTACTAAAAGGTTTTTGTTTTAACAATTGTTATTTTTAAACGGTAAAACTTACTTATTGGTAAGTCTATGTATTCTATATTCTATTTCCAGGCGTAAGTCAGTAATGTTTATTAAAATAGCTTGTAGAAGCGTCTTAAAGTCAAGCTATATAATACATACTTCATAGAAACATAGTATTTTTTTACCTACCGACTTATTTCATAATTAAACAAAGCTCGTCCCTAACCATCCTAATATATTAAAAATACACAAAGTTAGTATTCAAATCTTTACTCCTGCCAGCAATACTAGAGTGGAACCCGCATTGTTTTTGTTAAGTCTCTCAACACCAAAAAATCTGTAAGTCGTAGTCGACGTAAGAATCTTATGAAGCACACAAAGCCTCAATTTGTAAAATACACCCTTCAAAACGTTCGACGTTCAATAAAATTTTTAAGCTAGATCCGTGAGGAATTCGTAATAGCATTGAATAATGATCAAATTGTTAGTATGTTGGTATTCAGTACACACGTGGAGCTTGTTTATTTGAGAAACCGAGTGTGTACAAGTGCTGCAAACGTAACGAGAAGTATTCTGAAGCGGCTAACTTGGCTATCCTCCACGGACAACATTTAAATGTTCTATTTAACGAACCAAGAAAAATAACGCTTCAATATACTGATGTAGTGAAGCCGGCAATTCTTGTACCTTTATGTTGGTTTACTAGTTTTAAGCTACAAATAAGAAATAAGAAGCACAAAATGTGTGAAATAGCTTCTAGTAAACATCTGTATTTATTATTTTATCTTAATAAATCGTGTAAACCTTCCACGGCCATCATACCACATAGCATTGTTTTTTGGGCAGTTCGGCCGACGTGAGCGAGAAGAGGTTCTGGACGTTTCGCCATCACGAGCGGAAGCCATCATCAGGAGATGTTAGCTCCTCGATTGCTCGGAGAAGTCTTTATTTACGTGAAAAAAACAGAGTGCAAATAAGTATTAAAAGATGGAATATATACCCATTTAGGTTTTTCCATCCGAAGGTCATACAGAACGTAAATCAATATAAGATTAAAAATAAACGTATATACAATTAAATTCAATACTTTAATAATTAAACCTCAAAAAGTAGACAATATTTACATTAGTAATAATGGTATATTTTTGCTAGGAAGTTTTCCTTCTTTTAAATTCCAACACAAGTTTGTGTCATGAAAAGTTTTAGTGAACTCAACAAGTGAGAGTTAGAAATCGTAATAAAGTTATACTTACAACTAAATAAGTCATTTTAATCGTAAATTATCGTATGACCTAGTATTTTGACAAATATATTCGAGTTTCACCTCTTTAAAAGAACTTTGTTTGATTGCGTACCACTTACGTAAATTGGATATTTATATAAAAATCGAAAGGCACTAAAAACTAATACAATAGACATTCGATTTGAAAAACCTTTAAAACAAAGCAACCAGCTTTGTTTTAAAGTGTATATTCTAATTAATAACCTAAAACTGGTTCCGTATACTTTTTATGTTAAGTTTTATTTTTTGATACTATGAAAAAAGGATATCTACTTTAATCTACGGTAAAAATACCACGAAAAATGCCAATGGGATTATAACTAGATGGTGCGATCGGCTCGCCAGGATTACATTAGCTTTCAAACGTCAATAATGGGGGCTGTTAAACTTTATTGAACTCTTAAATAATTTTATCGCTATTATATTTAACACAAAATTTCTTTATAAGGTAAATTGTTCAATGGCTACTAAAGGTCTGGCAACTTTACTCATAATATAAAATTGTTCGTATAATTTAAAAGTCAATCCCATTGAAAAAACCCGCAAACTTTTATCGAGTAAGCAGATAAGTTTTATAAAATAAGCTTTTATACACCACTAGAATGATCCTATAAATTCGATCGGTTATTTTATAAGCAAATTCGTATTAGATAGAAGTACACCTGTCGAATGGAATTGCTCTGGAGTTTTATAAGAGAGTTTCATAATAATATACATTAATATTGAGAAAAGCTAACTATCGTTAAGGCCGCGTACATTATAGCTTACAGCTATCTGGCGCAAATGGCTCAAACCGTAATTACCATGAAATTATGTGATCGACGAACACAACGTCCTATTAACGATGGTTGAATGAACTTGTTTAACTGAAAATACATTGTTAAATCATAATGAAGCTTTACAGGTTGATAAACAGACCCGAAACTCGGTTACGACGATGTAAGTGTATTAAAAATTATTTCAGATAACGTTCGGTTTTCGCGTTGTTGATACGTAATTAGTGAAGGTTAGGAGGGATGTTTACATTGCCTACATTTATATTAAAGCTGTATGTTTGTTCACATGTTCACAAAATACGAAATAATCGTCTAGAATTGTCCAAAAATTATACGCACTATAATTTCGTACCAATTGACCACACTGTGCAGATAACCTCAGTGTTCCTCGTCATTCATTCTTTTTCGTGTTCTACTTAGACATTCGTTGTTTTTTAAGTAATAATAAACCGGTACCTAGGAAGAAAGTTACTAATTACCTTCATTTGAAGTCGGCTTATGTACATGTAGATGGATAATAATAACAACATGACTGATACAAGGTATCCGTTTGTATGCAATTTTGAAATTAGGTTAAAATAACTCAAAACGAATCTACGAGCTGGTATGCTATAGATAATTAACAGTGTTGCCAACTGCTAATATATAATGAACAAATTAGTAAAACGTGTAGCTGTATTATTATTTTAAATATATATAATATAGAATCTAATATAGTAACTAGTCACAAGAATATTTATTTAAAAAAAAATCAATAGTCTGTGAAAATAATAGACAAAAATTGTTTTATTTACGTTTTATATTTATGTTTTATTAAAAAAACACGCTAATGGCACCCTGATATAGTTTTGTAAGAGGTCATGAATTTGTATTTACGTAAAAGAATTTGCTAAATACACAAATATACCTATATAAAATGTACTTACCATCCGTTCTTTCAATAACCTCGACTCGCGAATCCTTTGAAAAGGGGTCCTTTTATATGAAAGGGGGTATGAAAGAAAAACCATTTTTTTAAAATGACGGCAAGGGGCTATCTTGGATATGCAAAAGGTTGTCGCATCGTTCAACATCATTAGTCTGAAGAAATAAGAACGACGAGTTCTGAATAACTCCTTTTATTCCAAGGATATCGTAGATATAGAGTATAGAAGCAACAATTATAAAGTGCGTAGTCTTTAAAGCTGTACGTAGTCATAAAGCCACTAATTGTTACTTTACTCCTTAATATCACGTCTAGTGGCTTACGTCCGGTGGCTTAACTGTTCAACACATTGTATTAATCAAGGCCTGTGGGTTTGAATCCCAACATAATGAATGGTTTCGATCGCCCACTTTTCCCCTGCGTGGGATTATTATGCGAGTACCTTGTGAGGTACTCGGGTCAATTCTTCCATACATCGTGGTACATATCCTATAGTTATTGTAATATAGTATAGATGTATCATTAGCTTAGCCATATTTAAATAAAACACTTTTAACAATTTGAAAATCTAAATATATTAGTAAACTTATTTTTCTTAGACGACGACGACGAAGCTTCGAATTCTTTGTAGCAGACGTCTACGGCTTCGTCAGCCGGAAGTCAAGGCGGTCACGGTAGTTTATATGTAGTATTTTAAACCGTTAAAAGTATTTTATTTAAATGTATACAGACTACAAACAGTACTTAACTTACCTATATGTTTAGATTTTTATGTTTCGTTTGATAAAACGACCTCGATCGTACATAAGTTATCTCGGGTCGTTTATTCTGGTAGCTATTAAAATTTTCAAGATAAACAGATCAAAGTGCAACACACGCTTACTTAAGATTTATATTAAATACATAATACTTTGAAAAAAATCTTCTTTAAGGTTTAAGTTAACATCCTTCGCCTCGTCTGCGTAATTTTCTTTGATACCTAGAAGAAGTAATATAAATATTAATATTTTTCGATTGTGTACTTTATTTAACAAGCTAAAACTACCATTTTTATTATTGAAATAAAATAAGAGCGACTAAATAAGACGACACTGAAACTAAACTGCGACATAACAATGAGAAAAATCCTCTCTATCTAAATATCCGAAACTACTCAACACATTTTGATAAATGTTCCACAGTTGAATCTCACTTTTTGTGTAATGACTAATCATGCTCTTAGTATATATTATAAAAAACTATTTATTAGAAAGCTGATGAGTTTGTTTCTGTGAATTCGCTTATCGCAAAAACTACTAGTTCGAATTGAGAAAATATTTTGTTTGGTTTAGTTCATTTCTCGAGAAAGGTTTTAGGTTTAAACTTCAAGTTGCAAAGTTGGATCGAAGAAACATTAGGAAATGTGGAAGAAAACGAGGAAAATTATTCTGAAATGCTTGTGCTGCGATGGTTTAAGATATGTATGAAAGAATAATTCCTCTAATGGAACTAAAAAAATGTCCGCGACACTATATATCCATCTTTTAAGATTAACTTGCAAGAACGACGGGTCGCCGAAGACGTCATGGGTGACAGTGACAATTTATGAAGCTAGCCTAAATAACTATTCCACGCGGACGAGTCGCCGGCACAGCTATTACTAAATACTTACTCAGCGCAAGAAATGCACTTAGCCCATGGTGCTCTAGTCGTTCCAGCCGGACAGGCTTGTATATTTGCTATGAAGTCATCACCACCTGGTTTATTGTGGCCTGGTGCAGATACGAAGCCCCCCTCATCAGAATAATCTTCATCTCTTCTTCTTCTACTTAGTAATTCAACAGACTTTCTATAGTCATAATCATCCGGTCCTCTTATACCTTCGGCTAGGAAGCTTGATGTATCATCTTCATGAAAAGTTGGATTGTATGCATGTGCATGGACTATAAATAATAATATTATTGACACAAGGTACCCCTCTCCGTACATTTTGAAGACTGGCTAAGATAACGAACTCGTGCCATAGATAATTTTCACAGTGTTGTCTACGCTAAAATATAATAAAGTAATTAATACAATTGCTTTTATTATAATATAATGATAATTAATATTACTTAATTTTGTAATGTAGTAACGAATGTGTTATTTTAAAAATCGAAAATAAATTGAAAATTTTTTTTCGACACGGGCGCGACTTGAAGCGCCATCGTCAGCGTTCCGTGCTGTTGCTCTACCAATTCAGCTACTGTACCGTACGAGTCTTCGTGAGCCTTCATGTGAAAAATATCTAAGTTTTCAAACGAATATGTTGTTATTAATTACCAAGGGAAATAATACATGGGCTTTGTATTTTTGAAATATAATTTAATGTAAAAACCGGAGATTGTGTCACAATTACAATTGTGATTTAAAAAACATTTTAAGACCATGATGTAAAATGTCTATTGCATTGAATCTAAGATTTTCTAATTTGAGATCATTATCCAAGCGTCAAATTAAATTTCTGCTAGCTGTCAAAGTTTGTAGGATATAGATGAAGACGACATAAGATTATTGTATATTGATAAAACAAATTACCCTCCTCAACTCTTAATTCTTTTCTTCTTAATAATTCTATTGGCATAAAAGATAACCACGTTGAAGCGGAATTCAAATCCCAGACTTACGTTTGAATGTATTCGATCCCGCGCAATATATATAAACTTTTTTTAAATTTGTATAATTATAAACTCCTTCGCTATTCACATGTATATCACATATATCTTTGATATATTTAATAGCAGATGGTATGATATTTTGTAGCTGAATAATAAAAAAATAACAGTAGAACCAATGAGCTAATCAAGGCTCATTCGTATAAGAAACCGCAGACAGATAAGTCGGGCAACACAGAGGAACGGACTATAAAATCAAGTTGGCCAGTGCATATCTGACACGTGACTAATTCCCGCTATATTTTAATCCAGCGAAATACAAAGGAGTCCAATTTGCATAAACCTCGACTGTTTGTTTCGTGCTACTGTATCCGATTTAGTGGGACTGTTTTGTACTCAATTCATCTGTGTGCGCGGAACGATGATCGGACTAAACATTTAAATAGACGGTTTAAAACGTGAACTTATGTCAGCTTAACTAATACATTATCTATATAAGATTTTTTTATCTTAGCTTAAGTAATATATTTTGCGTTTAAAACCGTTAAAGGGTTATTCAGGGACATAAATACTAAACCAATATTTTTTATGATAGAGGAAATCAGACAAACAGGAGTTTCACTTGGTGAAATGTAGAATCTTCAATATATAAGGAATGTATACATATTTAAATAAAACACTTTAACGGTTTAAAACGCAATATATCGCGTTTTAAACCGTTAGAAAAGCATGAAAAAGATAAATTAAGCATGGAAACAATAACATGAAAGTGCAAACCATCTTTTCTCTTGTTCTTCCTTGTTATAAAAGAAATGTAATACGTGTGGCCTAAACATGAGATGACATTTTAATGGCTATTACATTGTTATCTTACTTTTGTAAACGGTATTGGGTATTAGCTGAGGTATAGAGCTCTATATCAAATAGCAATTTAGGTGAACTATGTACACGATAGACATTGTTTGCGCTAAGTTAACTGATGCCTTGCTTGATGCTTGTATATGTAGAGATCTGTACGATAATTCTTTATAGAATTCATGAAAATTTATTACTTGTAGATGTATTACTTGATCCCATAACAGTAATCTTTACAAATATAAAAACTAAAGAGTTTGTTTGAATGCGCTAAAGTCAGGAACTACTGGGTCGATTTGAATTGCTTTGTGTTGGTTAGAGCAAATATCGAGGAAGGCTAAAGGCGATAAAACACTTATATCTTCGCTGCGATTGTCGCGTGAGCGAAGAAAGAGGTAAAAATGTAGAAAAAACAGGGAAAATTATGAATTTTTCTAGTTCAACTATCCACGGTACTATATGACTATCTTATAAGATTAACTTGCAAGAACGTCGGGATGCAACCGACGTCGTGGGTAACAGCTTGAATTTACAAAAGTGAAAGGGAGGTTTACAAAAACGAATACTATAATATATATAACTATTTTACGCGGATGAAGTCGCTGACACAGCTAGTCTAATATTGCGCTATAGACGCAAGCAAAAGAAAATAAAATGACGTCTCACGGCAGCTTATTTATACTGAATTTTCATGACGCGTTCGAAACCGGTCTCTCGTCCGGAAATTTCTATTCGGATACAAATATATATAAATAAAGCACTTTAACGGTTCAAGACGCGATATATTAGTTAAACTTATTTGAAAATGACCACGGCTGCTGCAAAGCATCCGAAACGTCGGGCCGAAGTTAAAAATCATTTTTCAATAAGTTTAACTAATATATCGCGTTTTAAACCGTTAAAGTGTTTTATTTAAATGTGTACTACTCGCGTAAACTATAAGATATAGTTATTTAAATAAAACACTTTAACGTTTAAAACCGATATATTAGTTAAACTTATTTGAAAATATTTTAACTTCGGCCCACGTTTATTTTAAGTTAGATACTTAAAGCATCAAACTGAATTAAAAATCATTTTCAAATAAGTTAACTAATATATCGTTTTAAACCTTAAAGTGTTTTATTTAAATGTTACTACTCGCGTAAACTAAGACAGTATATAGATATAGTTATATTACGTAGCCAAAAGAAGCTCGCACTTCAATAAGACTGCAAATTAGGAGCAGTGTGGTTGTAGGTTGTTTTCTAAACAAATTGCACACCGACCGGGTCGTGGATAGGAAGTCTTTGAAACCATCTTAATTATAATTAATACCGCACAAAGGCTGTCTAGACGCTTTCAAGATATTAATCGATGCTCAGTCAATGTATGCAAGAATATTGACTTCATTGAATAGTTATTCATTCTATGAGGTTTGGATCTTAGGAGCGAGTAAAATAGGATTGAAAGAAATAAAGAAGTTGATAGTACCTTAACAATAAATCTTTAAGCTTAGCAGAAAGTTACAATAGTAACAGATAAGATATATCTATATATATCTTTATCTACCATAATGTGAAGAGCCAAAAATATCGTTGAAATATTTTGTATATTATGTTTTATATCGATTATCTCTTTTAATTAATTAAATACAACCGTTAACAAAGCTATATTTTGAATAAATATTTTTGAATTTTGAATTATATACAAAAGCGGTTCCACTTGCTAGAACTACAAATATAGTTTAATAATACATACGGTGACTTTTATGTATGAATTTGTTTGTAAGAAACTTCTATTATTTGAAAACATTAATATTTTTTTACATGTGCATGTAAGGTGCATGTAATAATAAGTTGGAGAAATTCGACGATGTAGGAGTCGGTAGCTCAATTGGTAAAGCTGACGATGCCGGTAAGTCCTGCCCGAGTGGATTTTTTTTTCAATTTTAAAAACTTCTTTTATTATTAATTGGTATGTTAAGTCAACTAAATTATCTTTCGTCTTTAAATCACAGCCATCATTTTTCCCGTTTTGACATTACGTCATGGGAAATTCGAAGGAAATTCAAAATTCTTTGCATATATATTTCAGTTCTTTATACGTTTTTTTATTTAAAACGCAATAGTATAAAATATTGCAGCATAAGGAAGAATTCTAATCCCGAAAGTTTTTGCTATTCAACCAGCAACCGAATGCGAATTTTAAAGTCAGCAAATAACTATTTCTAGGAATGCAATCTTTTTAACATAAGAATGGCTATTTTTCTAGTGAAGATCTACTATTGGATTGCGCACGATGCAATTGGAATTCAAAAATGCGAACTTTCGAATTGAACTATGCAAATTTGGCAAAAAAATTATGCAAAATAAGTTATGCGCCAGTCAGTATTAATTGTGCCTGGGTATAAATGTGGCTGCCAAAAGTATATAGAACTATGTAGTTGTTTTTTTATAGTGATATTAAAAAAACGGTTATAGAAACAAACATTTAACGAATATAATTTTTTGGAAGGTAATTTGAGTATTATCAAATTTAAATTCAAATGATTTAATCCACATCAACGTATACGTGCACAGAAATTACGCAATGATATGAGGAAATAAATAAATAGGCTACAATTAACACCTACACTGCCTTTGTTATGAAGGACATCAATCAGCTGTTGCTACAACAACAGTGATTTTAGTGATGCCCGATGAATGACACTTAGAGTATCAGGAGGAAACAATATTAAACTTAATACAAGTAAAAATATAAAATGTCTAATTTACAAAACACTAACTGGAATCCCCATACTACGAAAGATATCTTATACAATTAAATTTTCTTTACACTTCAATAGTCGTAAAAATTTAAGAACACGTGTTTTGCAGGTTTGTGTACTCACTGAGTCACGGATCTTTCTTTAAAACACTTTGCCGACAAAACAATTAATAATGGTCCTACCATAGCAATTCTAGTTGCGTCACAATATGCGCATCGTTAGTTGGAATATTTCCAAAAGATAAAGTGCATTATGTATGCATATTACCAAAAATATTACGGCTTATTCAAGTGTGTAATAATAGCAACCGCCGAAGTTTCGACTGACCGGCGGAACCCAATTGCATAACGAATAAAATAAAAATAAATTGTTTATTTAAAACGTTACAGTGTAACGTAACGATCCAGATTGTTGTTTATTTTGTAGTTCTTTTATATAAAGGTTTAAGTGAAAATCGCTGACCAAATTTGGCGGCCATTATAACCAATGGATCATTGGTTCTATTTATATCGGTCTATATAGGTTGGAAAAAGCAAAACAACCGGCGACAGGGCTTATCAAGTGTTTAAGAGGTGATAGCCAAGCAAGAGTTCACTTACTGGTAGGAGAAATACCCCGGCCATATAACATCTCAACAAGGTGTGCTAGCGACCTATTTTTGGCTTTGGATATTCGGAAATTAACAGAATGATATCGGAACTCGATTGACTTAACTTGAAAGTTTTTCCACC